AAGTTGACTAGTTACTTTAGTTTTGAATCCCCTTACAAAAGGGCACTACTTTAAGGAGTTTTGGTCTGAAAAGGGTCAGGAGACTGCTTTCAAAGTTATTAATACTGTTGTGAGTCTTTATTTTTTCTCTAATTATTTAATATCTAATGTATCTATAGTTTGAGAAGTACAACATACACTCTAGGCCAATCCCTGTACAGTCATCCCAGCCTGAGATTAGTCTTAGCACTTCTCATAAACCCTTAGAGAAGTCAGCTTCACTCCCCTATAGACACAAGCAGATGCAAGCAGCAGCTCTAGCAATGAGAAGACAATTTGGAGACAAGCCAAAGGATCCTCATGAAGAACTTACAAGGTACACTAATGATGTTGAAGATATAGACCCTAACAAGGGTTTGGATCTATTACTCTGGTGGAAGGTATTCTATTATTCTTATTTTGTAATAAAGTATCTAATGTTTTACTAGGAGAATGAATTCAGGTTCTCTACCCTTTCCTGGATTGTAAGAGACTATTTGCCTATTCAAGCATCATCAGTTCCATGTGAGCAGCTCTTTTCAATGACAGGGATTGCAGATACAAAGCAGTAGAACAGGACAACTTCAAATATTTTTACTTTGTTCCAGATGGTGTGTGACTACCACCAAATGATTGTACATTGCCAGGCTGGTCAGAAATTTGAGGAGGCAGATGTCTTGGCCATATTTTCTTCAAGCAGTTCTGATTCTGATTAATCTTTTTATGTATACTACTTGACTGGTCTTTCTCCTCTTACATAGCCTTTCTTTACTGTTTGGCTTAAAGTGCCTAAAATATGCATGCCTTATTCTACTTGCAGATGCAACTGAAAAACCAGATAGCATCTTTATGTGCTACTGGATGTATGGGTACTGGCTCAAGAACAAGTATATGCAGCTGTTTGTAGAGAGGAGAAATCTCGACTAGGATAGGAATGCCAGAATCATCCTCTTTAAGATAATGGACCAGGTACTATCAAAGACTGAGATCTTTTTCTTCATACGTCCAGCAAAATACTGTGGTCAACCTGCCATGATTGTTGGCTTTGTCCATGATGTTCGAATGCACAAAGTGGATGAAAGCAAATATCCACAGGCTCACATAGACACTGTACAAGAGGCTATAGGACTGCTGAAGGGGACGAAGCTGAGATGGTTTGAGATAAATGGACAGGAATACAATCCAGACATAGATCCAGAGAGCAAGGACAAGGAACGTATGGTTTATGTGAACAACAGTGAGAATGCATCTACTGACTGGGACACAGACGAGTGGTCTTAGCTTCTCAGCCACTCTACCCAGGAGTAGTATGTATCCAATTGTTTGGAAAATGTACAAGGTTTGTCTGTCTGGACAGACTTAAGATTGATATTACACACTATGTAGTATGTATAATCTGTTCTTATCTTCAGCTCAAACAAAGCATGGCTACTTTCCTCCTTCATCTGTATCAAACACAGTTTGTAATGCAAGCATAACAATTGTTGACTACTCAAGTATACATTCCATAACTGTACCTTAATGATTAACTGTAAGTGTTTCAAGTGTAAATTTGGATTACTTTGACAGACAGAGTTTTATCCTACAATAACTGAGCTTATTAACAAACCTATTAACTCAGATAGTAATAGTCTCTGTCTACAACAAGGGCTGCATAAGAAAATCTGTAGCAAGAGACTAGTATAAGTACACATTGACCCAGGTTGACCCCTGACCTGACCTGACCTGACCCACTTTGACCTGACCCAGCTGGGTCAGACAAGGTCAGGTCACAGGTCAGGATTTTTGGAAAATTCTGACCTGGGTCAGGTCATGGGTCAGACTAAAAACCCTCCTGACCCGACCTGACCCGACCTTGCGTATCACTACTATACACGTCTAATTTACGGTGCAAAGCTAGAGGACCACTTTTGGACCGGACCTGAGGTCCGGTCCAGGTCCGCCCGGGAATAACCCGGAAGTGGTTAAGGTAATGCGTCACGACCGTGTCTTGCTCATGTACTGGAGCATGAACAGATGTGGGAGCGCTGCAACGATTTTGAAGAAGACGGAGAACGACTAAACAACTTCAACGAACGTGAACTTGCAACCAGAGATGAGTGCGAGGAACTCAATGCAAGACGTGTTGATCGAAGTGCTGTGTGTTGATGTGCGAGATCGTATATGTGGTGCGTGTATGTGGACGGTTGATGAAAAATCAAGGAGACAGCGATGTCGAGTGAACTTGTGTATGTGCACGCATCCTTCTTTGCGTGGCAGGAAGGCCAGGACGCACCAGATTCAGACCCCTATAGGACATAGGATGTAACAGTTGCCCTTGATGGAGAAGAACTTCATGATCTTGTACAAAGAGGCCTGCTGTCAAGGAAGAGAACAAGGTAGCGCGTGATCAGTACAACGTCATAGAGTGCCTGCATATTGGACGAGACGTCCATGCACAGAAATATACGCGAGCCAGCACATCGCTGTCCTTCATGGTGAACTTGATATGTCAGCATGATTGCGACGTCCGTATTTATTCGGTAAATAGCAATCGATGCCGAATGCGAAATTTTCACCTACTTTTCATTTTCGTGGCGATGTCCAGGATTCAGGAATGTATCATTTCACAGACAGAAAACGTCCCAAAGTAAGCAACAGAGCTCACCAAAGTAGGGAAAGGCATTCATGCTGGGTATAGCGTTCCTCGAGTGAGGTTACTCTGAATCATCAAGGTCGGTTGTAGACACGAAGGTGTGAAGATAAACACGATTTCGGTCCTGTCTGGACTTCCCTAATGAACGTTACGTCAACAACATATTGTATATGGTGCATATAGCCAAACATAGCAGAAGAATACTTCTCCTTTTTTGTGCAGTATATAATAGTCGAAGGTGCATTTAGATGTCTGTTGGTTGCAGAAGTCGTGGAAAGTCTAATTCATCCAATTCGTTATCTAATGTTATCGACAAGGTATTATGTCTTCTCCCGAACTTGATACTACCTCGACTCGCCTTCGGTTTCCAGTTACGAAACTCTCGCAGAACTCGGATTACTCATAGTAGAATCTCGAGATAACTCAGCCCGCTAACTGTCAATATTTCCAGAGGACAGCAGCACCATTAACAGGGAAACGAAGTCCTGCGGCAAATCCTGGCGTTGGAGAACGAGAAGCATTTGACTATGTGTCTAAGCCTAACCAGCATCCGGGGTTGCAGTCGGCGTGACAAAATGAGAGCATGGTGGTAACCAATGGTCAAGTGCGCTATGATAGTCAATAATAATCGAACTATACTACTGTGATTATTCGAGCGTTTAAACTCTGTGCAGTATGCTTATTGCAATTGCTTATAAAACTGATATCAAAAGCGGCAGTTGTTTCCCTTTCTCCTTATCAGTATCAATGACAGGTGCCATTACTCCTGCCGCAGCAGGAATAATATTTCCGGACTGAGGTGCAAGAGAAAATCGGAATTTACGAAGAGTTTCGATCATGAAGGTCTGGAGCTCGATTGTCCTGTTTTCCGTTTATCGTCATTACTCGAAAGATGATGTTACTTGTAACTTACGCAAAGCGATAACTTGATGTGGTTGGGTACATTAGAACAATGAGCAAGATTTCACGTATCATCTATTGCGCAGAAAACTCACCCAAGACAGGCCTGGAATCCAGCAATGAAGATCCCCCTGTCAAAATTTCAGGCTATATCTAAGCCCAATAGTTTAGCGTGACTCACAGGTTTGAATATACGCCAAAGATACTCGAGATCGGCTTGTCAGCATTCAGCCATCTTTCCGGTATCAGATCATCCGGATTGTCTCCAAAAATGTCTGAGCTCCTAATGCAATGTTAACTATTAATAATAGTCGAAAGCAGAAGTCGGAAACGTTCAAACCGGTTGTAGGCGAATATTGAGAGATGGACATTTTGGCCTTTCTCTATCGGTATTTCCTCGATCTTCCGTCCATCGCTGGTAATAATCGGCCTGGATAGCGGAATGACATCCGGCTTTGCAGACTGCAGCCATGTTTGATACACAGCAGGATACAGACGTAGCACTTCCTGGAATACTCCTGTTATTAAGTCATGACTTTGAGTGATGATGAATGATGATTACCTTCATGAAGGCTAGCCCGTACTCCAATTTCTCCATATTATTGATGTTGAGGTCCAATTGACCATTTGCTCGTGCGACCGAAAGCGCATCATAGATCTCCTTTCTTATTTTCCCCTGCATATCGGGTGACGAGCAAGCTCATAAAAGGGGAATGAAATCGTGTTGCTTGTAGTCTCGTCTGCGAATAAGAATGTCAGCCGCGCACAGGCTTATAAAAGAGAAAGAATTCTACTCACGTCCCGCTACGATCATTGTTCTTTACAGGGATAAATTAGCTGCAATATTCTTGTGATGAGGTCTCTGACCGAATCTGCGAAATCAATTCCTCGTCGGAGAGTCTATTCGCCAAACTCTCGGACTCGTTCGCTCTTACTGAGGCAAAATCAGAATTAATATTAAATAGTGCGTCCCGAGCACGTACCAAGCAAACTCAAAATGTCTTTTGAGTTCTGCTTTTTACTACTATTCGTGCGTTCATCCAGCAACATCCGACCAGTAACTCGCCCTTCTTCAGCGACCTCTCGCAGAGGCTTTAGATTTCTCGACGGCAGTTTTCCTAGCAAAGGAAAGAAAGACTCGGGAAGAAGACCGAATACTTGCTGAACAAATATGCTGGTCGGAGTTGGAATGCCGAACGCAGAGACACTGTAAAATCAGTGAGTACTAGCCATCCGACTCCAACCTTCTTTTCTTACAGAAAGTTATTATAGATACGAGCTAATCTGTTTGAATCATCCGCCAGCGCATTGAACTGATAGTCGAACGCCGCTGATTTAGAGCATTAGCACAGACTGCGAGAGGCAGATAAATACTGCACCTTCGCCGATAATGTCCAAAGTCGCACGAGACAGCCAGCGAGTAACATTGACAACAACCGGACCATCTGCTACAACATCCTCCCATCGATCGCACATCTGAGAAATGATGAGAACTGATTTTATACAAATGTCAAATCGTATTTAGGCTCCTACGAACCCGTCGGATGACAGTCCTAAACATTGGCATAAGTGCTTTCATCTCTGCGGGGCCGAATGCTGGAGAAAGGGTCTTCCGGTGTCTCTTGTGATCTACGCCTATTCCAAATGTCAATAATTGGAAAAGGAGCATAAGGACTATGCGTGCCTTGAGCCCATGCTATACCGCGACCATTAAACATGCGTCCGAATTCTCGCCGTATCGTAGGTTTGACGTAACCTTGTCCCGCATTCTGACAGATGTGTTGCATGGCCAAACGTGGAGCTAATATTTAGGAATGCCGTGCGAATAGTTGCAGCATTACCTTAGGGTCCAACAAGAAGAGTCTCTCAGTCTATTGGGAGACGCATGTTTCAAGCTCATAAACGCATACGCTCGTTGAAAGATAAAAGTAAACGCACGCCGAATAAACCCTTGAATCGTAAGACAGAGCCGTAGTTGCGTGTCCATCTCAAATCAACTTCTCCAGACCTGTACGCATAGATTACCCGGCCGGAGAAGTATTAGAGCCGAACACCTCTTATGGTCGATAAGATTGTATCAAGGAGAAACGACTTTGGTGGCGGACCCGGTATATGTTTCAAACAGGCCCATCTCTTTGGGATGAAGTTGAAGACAATCAGAGTGCCGAGCAGTAGCGTGAGTTGCATCAACATGGCAGGATGCGACCTTGCGCGGAGCACAGACAGACATGTAATATAAGAGATCGCCATCAGAATTATGATGTCGCATCGATAGCGCCCAGGTTAGTAAGTAACAGACCATTCTCTGTCTGGAGCAGCCTTTCAGCAGAGCCACCAGGTTCGAACATGGGACATACTAAGAAAAAGCAGTTGGGCGTCTCGCCAATCAGAAATTTCAAGAACGGCAAGCCATTGGTCAGGTGACATAATTATTAAGGTTTAATGATACTTATACCAAAGGGACTCTTGCTTGTAAATAAGTCTCGTCTGCAGGAGTGTTGCCAGCTGTTACCTCCTTCCCACACATCAATTCCATCTAGCCTGCGAAAGCACAATTCCATCAACTGGTGTGTGAACAGGCGAGACTACACCAGAGCCGTTCGGGTCCTTCCGGAATGTTCCATCGTAGGCCTCCCTGCCTTGTATATTCAGCAGGATACTTTCCGAGCCCAGTAGAATACCTAGAAAGCACATCTGCTAATCAGTGAGTGATGTATCTTCATGTGGCAGTGGCTGTTCCTCCGCATCAGGATGATGACAGATCCGAGGTTTCCACACACTGTTCCTATCTCCCACCCAGCATGCCATCTAGTTATATTTCATGTCGAGAAAACTAGTTGAGTCTCCTGCAATTCATTTAACGTGTTATTAGGTAGCGACTTCTTTCCTAACATGACTTGTCTTGCTAGTGCTCTTGGAACTTATTTCAGTATTGAAATAGAAAGGCCTTTGCGATAGCTCTCGTGCATTTCTATAACTGTTCCTGAGATGATCATCAGACGATAGTGCTATATCGAGCCATCGTATCATCTCTTGAAACCTCCGGGCTTCTGTTAATACAGCGTATGGTCACCCAGGCTATACGTTGCCTTCTTACTATTGTCTAAATCCCTCACCAGAGTGCCATCTCATTGCTCTTCATCCCTCCGAGGTTCTGAAAGTGCTGCGGTGATTTGATTCTAATAATTATAATAAGGAAATATAAACTATTACCAGCCACATGCCAGTGAAACCGAGATTCAGTATCATGATGTACCACCCGCTGGACTGACAGCAATGATAATCACACACTAGTACTGATCTACTATTTATACACTCTCAGACAGTATAAGAGGCTTGGCCGAGAATTGAAAAATAAGAATCCCCAGTGCTTCTCATCATGTCAAGCATCCAGGACGAGTTAAATATACTGTATAGTGCTTTGCGTCAACAACGTATTGTACTGTATGCAGATGGTGAGCGCACAAACTTTGATTCTGAACATTCATTGCTTAAATGCTCTCTAGCTGCTGCACTAACTTGGGTAGCCTATGACATTCTCCTTACCGCTTCCCAGGAAGTATGATGCACCAAAACCTACATGTGTCTTCGAATGCTAAACTCTTTGTTTTTATGTCAGCTTAAAGTTATTTGGAGGTTTGTCAAATCACTACTCGTCTATTTCGCAAAGAAGCCAATTGCTCTATTAATATAGAGGGAAAGTCTCATTAGCAAAGTTCTTTTATTTCATTGCTCGTTATTACCCCTTGGCTATGCTTATGTAGGTATAATCTTCAATTTTTAATTTAATTTAATTTTGCTAATTATTCCGCGACAGTATGAATATGGCCGTTGGAACTAACACAAGTGATATGAGTGATACAGTTAGTTCCCTATTCTGTGGATTCAGTTGTCCTCTATTGCCTAATAATTTATATTTCTCCCATCCATAGTTGTGCGTGTTATTCTCGGTTTATGCTTTAAGATTCGGCTGAAACAATGTAGCTGTAAGCGATGGATCAGGTTCTATGCCTCGTATGCCCGTTTCCTCCTGTTGTTTAATGATAATACTGACGCAATTATCTATTCAGAGCCCCAACTGCGGTTTCATACGCTGTTGATGCATTGTTGATAATACGCCTGTATGCATTATACAACAAGAACAGGCTGTGTGAGTTGTTTCATATGTATACATTGGTATTTTCACCCTGACCGGCGCGTGTCCTGTTGTAGTGTTAGGGGGTTTATTAATACTGTATTTCGGTGAGTGTAATTTCATCTGCAAGCGAAGCCTATTCTAAAACTTGCTTCCACTTATCAAAGGAGGACTTGCAGTACTTTAACTCCCTTTTCCATTTGATGTTCCAAAGTTAATATTGCCTTTAGACAGGAGCAGCATTAACCGTCATTGATCTTAGAGGGACCCAGTTCTTGTCAAAGCCATTTCACTTACCATATCCAGGCTGTCTTGTTACTGTCCCTGACGTGATTGAGAACTCGATTGCAGCCTGGACCATTAGCCTATTCCCACAACGTGAGTATTTTGTATATCTTGAATTTATGGGAACCTGTTGTGCTTAAAAAAACAGTTGTCTTCTTTTCACTCATTTTGTACAAGTTCATTGCTTCAGTAAAGACTTTCATCTCCCATGACTTGACCATGGGAAATATTGCAGAAGAAGGTTCAACCAGAGGAACAATTTTACACGCGTTACGCCAGACCCGCAAGCTATCTCCGCTCTTCTCGCTTTTCATGAGGGATGGTACATTTGCATTCTTAGTGTAAGTCACGGATAAAGTTGTACTTCTGTCATCTTATGTGACTTCGTGTTATAGGGTCTTCGGTATTGTGCCCGTTCTTTGTTTTAGTCTTAATTTCTCATCTCTTGGCTTGGATTTCCAGCGGTAGTCCTTGTGAACTTAATCTTTGCGGTAGCTGCCAATAAAGGACCAATAGAGCAGATGGGTACTCCGTACGTCTGGTGCTACTCCTCTTCTATGCACAGCCTTACGTTTTATTTGTGCATTTAGGTGCTTATTAGCTGCAGACGCTGTCCTGGTCAGTATGATTTTCTAACTTACTGTTTATCACCACTAAACAAATCCCCAGGCATCGCGTCTCGTTCTGAATCTTGGAGGCTTTCTCGATTCATCTCCAGTTGTAACAAACTCCGGTGGAACAAGAGATACTCACGGTCGTCCAACTATGTCCGAGAATCTCGGGACACTTCAGTTTGCAGACCGTCAAAATTGTGAGGGCCAGATGACGGTGACAACGTCAATGGGGGAGCACGGCTTTGTTGCATCAGAGCACAGGGAAGATACGAGTAGTTAGAGTCAGTTAGCATGTGGGTTGCAGTCAAACTACCATAAAGACAAAAGGATAGTTTCAGTTTCTCGGGTCTGCTATAATATTCAATAAAACGTTGGAATATGATATCCAATACTATTGCCTAAAACTTCGTACTCTACAAAATATGGTTTCCCCAACCATTTACAGAAGGGATATCAATAGCGGTAATTGTTTCCCTTTCTCCTTCTCGCCCTCAACGACGGGCGCAAGTACACCCGCAGCAGCAGGTATAATGTTTCCGGATTGTGGTGCGAGCGAAAATCGGAATTGACGAAGTGTTTCGATCATGAATGTCTGGAGCTCGATTGTCCTATTGTTCAGTGAGCATCGGTACTCGAGATACGTTGCTCGGGACTTACGCAAAGCGAAATCTTTGAGTTGGATACGTTGGTCTATGAGCAACATTTTACGTATCGTCTGTGATGCGGAACTCTTACCCGAGACACGCCTGGGACCCAGCGATGAAATTCCCACTTTCAACCGTTCAGACAGTATTTAAATCCAATCGTTAAATAGCTCACAGATTTGAATACACGCCAAAGATACTCGAGATCGGTTTATCAGCATTAAGCCATCTTTCCGGTATTAGATCATCCGGATTGTCACCGAAGATTTCTGAGCTCCTGAATGCAACATCAGAAATATGAACAGTCAAAGGTAGAAACAGGAAATGATCAAACCTGTTGTAGGCGAAGATTGAAAGGTGGACATTTTGACCCTTCTCGATGGATATTTCCTCGATCTTTCGTCCATCACTGGTGATTATTGGCTTGGATAGCGGAATCACATCTGGCTTTGCGGACTGTAACCATGTCTGATACACAGCTGGATACAAGCGTAGTACTTCCTGGGATATTCAGTGTCAAAACGGGAATTACCTGTGGCAAAAATAATGGGACCTTCATGAAGGCCAGTCCGTATTCCATTTTCTCCATATCGCCAATATTGAGGTCTGGTTGGCCATTCGCACGAGCAGCTGAAAGGGAATCTTGGATCTCTTTCCTTATTTTCTCCTGCATGTCGGGGTGACGAGCCAGCTCATAAAAGAGGAATGAAATCGAGTTGCTTGTGGTCTCGTCTGCAGATAAAGATAAGTAGGATCGGGGTCACACTCAGGTCCAAACCGAATAGATTTTACTTACGCCCAGCTGCCATAATCGTACTTTCCGAGAATGAATTAGTTACAACGCCTCACAAGTGCGAATCTTTACCGAATCTCTGAAATTAATTCTTCGTCGGAGAGTCTATTCGCCAAACTCTCAGATTCATTCGCCTTTACTGTGAAAAAATGAGCACTGTGTCTAAACAGCTCGTCCAGACCACGCACAAAGTAGGCTCAAGACGTCCTTTGGGTTCTGCCTCTTACTGCTATCCATACGTTCGTCAAGTATTATCTGACCTGTGATTCTTCCTTCTTCAGCGACTTCCCTCAGTGTCTTCAGACTTCGCGATGGCAATTTATCCAGCAAAGCGAAGAAGGAATCGGGAAGGAGTGCGACTGTCTGCTGTACGAAAATACTGACTGTATTTGGAATACCGAACGCAGAAACACTGGGCAAGTTATTAAATATAGTGAGCATTATTGTTGCTGTACTTAAATCTCTCAACTTACAGGAAATTGTTGTAAACGCGTGCTAATTTGTTTGAATCATCTGTCAGAGTATTGAATTGATAGTCAAATGCAGCTAATCAGGAGTTTTAGTCAAATTCCGGAAAGGCAATCGTGGATTTTGTACCTTCGCCAATGATATCCAGGGTTGCGCGCGACAGCCAGTCGGTAACATTGATAACAGAGGGACCATCTGACGTAACTCCTTCCCATCTACCACACATCTACATCCGGACGAAAAATAAATTAACACAACCATCGGCAGCATGCGTTACGGTTTTTACCAACCCGTCGGACAACGGTACGAAACATTGGCATAAGCGCTTTCATCTCAGCGGCGCCGAATGCCGGCGATAGAATCTTCCTGTGCCGCTTGTGATCCGGACCTATCCAGATGTCAAGCGGAAAAAAAGAACAGGAGGTCCATTTGAACATGCCTTGAGCCCACGCTATACCTCTACCAAGGAACATGCGTCCAGCTTCTCTTCGTATTGTAGGCTTAACATAGTCGACTCCTGCGTTCCGATAAATATGTTGCATAGCCTAATAACGTAATAATAATCAACAAGGACTTTAGCGAAACTGGCACTCCATTACCTTTGGATCCGAGAAGAAGAGCCTGTCAACCTTCGTAGCCATACATGTTTTGAAATTATGAGTGACCAGAACCATAATGTGAGGAATAAACAAGGTGAAAAACATACTCCGAACAAGCCCTTAAATCGTAGTGCAGAACCGTAGGTACGTGTCCATCTCAAATCCACTTCTCCAGCCTTATATGCAAAAAGCTCGGAGAGATTCCCTGGCCAAGAAGGTATTAGAGCCGAAGATTGCCTCCTATGTTGACAAAACACACCAAGCAAAAAAGACTTTGACGGTGGGCCGGGGAGATATTTTAAGACTCCAACCGGCCTTCTCGAGACGTAGCCAAAGACAACAAGAGATGCTAGAAATACTGCAAGCTGCGTCAACATGGTAGGACGTGACAACCTGGGCAAACAAAGAGTGGGGGTCCGCTTTTCGGTTGTGAGACGCGGTCGAGCGGACTTTGAAAATTTGCCATTTTAAGCCGAAATGTGGTGATCAAAGTGTCCACCTTGCTTATACTTAACTTGAAAAATCAGTAGTCATAACAAAATCAATATTAAAAGAGTATATTGATACATGTTATACTTAATAATACAATTCATGTGTTATACTTGAGAGAAATGTTATACAGAAATTTATTTGGCTAAAGTAAAGTGTAAGCTACAAGTGAATCAGTAGTGATCAGCAGTCTATTGCAAAGGAACGACGCGAGTGTGACAAAATATTAGCCAAATTCTCTGTGACAATGTGTGACTACAGCCATTCTGGCCTCATTCTTTATTTCATTCCTCATGCAGAGGTCAGTTAATTCACACAAAAACATTACTATAAATCAAAATAAATCATTATTAAAAGATTTACAGAAGGATTTTGTCAGAAGAAAATTATTGCTCAAGATATAGTTGATTTGGAGTGTAAAACAGTTATATTTTAGCTGGTTTCTAATAAAATCAAAATTCCTTCTGTAAAAAGTTTCTTTATCATCTTTTTAATACTATTCATATTTTTTTGTCAATTTAAAATACATGTGGGGAGCAGAAAATCTTTTCTACAAGGACAATTTTAACCCGGACACTTGTCTATCAGTTTACTGCTTAGTTTGCCGCTTAGTTTGGTAAGTTTTCAAACTCCGCAGGACCGCGCGTCAATAGGGAAAAGCGGACCCCCACAAAGAGTGCTGAAGGCAAACGTATCGCGCGACTTCAAAAATGAAAAATGAAATGCCGGTGTTCAAATCAGAAGTGTGACGTTGCGTCAGATGGCATTCAAGTCAGTACTAGTGTTGCACCAAATCGAGATTTTTTGTTTTTTGTTTCTTCCTCTCATACCCAGTGCAACAGTGAAAGCTACTCGTAACTCAACTCAGTTATGTCATTGTTTACATCATTTCATTGCATCTGTTTGCACGTGTATACTTAAAGTTTGCTTTACAATCGACGCTTTTTCCAAATACGGCAATGTGATTAGCGTCGGAAATCGGGGACTTGTGTCATGCTCTTACGCCATAACATATTCAGGTTCTATAATACTCTGCGGCTCATCTCAGGAATGGCATACCGCTGCAGTGGGACCACCAACCAACAGCTCATTGCAAACATGCGCACAAGCGGATTGATCAATTCAGACATCGTTGAGGTGCGACCTAACTTGCCCCCTTAGAATCATCTCGCGCACCTCTCTAACGAGGCTGCACAAATGCCACTTGTTGCACGTATAGGCCGCTTTCAAGAAAGTGGATCGGAAGAATTACGTGCTTGACGAGAGCGATGCGTACATTGATGCTCCTCAGTGAGCTTTCGTTCACCAGTGACCGCGTCAGACTGCCGACAAAAATGTAGGCCGATTAAGTGCAATGCGACCATCTCTGCGCCCCACATGGTACGGAAGCAAGTTCTTGGGCGAATTTTGACATATCTTTACTATTGATACTTGTCTTGGTACAGCATGCAGAGGCAACGACCAACCTCCTGCCCTTCCTTAAACCAGGTTCTCGCGTACTCGATGTCGGGAGCGGATCAGGGTACACCGCGGCAATCTTCCATCAACTCGTCCGATCAGATAGTCTCGAGGGGGCAGGTCCGTCCGGTAAAGTCGTCGGGATAGATCATGTAAATTCATAATCCTTCGATATTAGGAGATCATTGAAAATGTTTCAATAGATGACCGAACTCGTCGCCTGGTCAATCGAGAACCTCCGCAAGGACGGTCTTGGTTCCGCTCTTGAAAGTGGTGAGGTCGAGATGGTCGTAGGTGACGGTAGGAAAGGGTGGCCCGCCGCTGCTCCCTATGATGCCATTCACGTCGGAGCAGCAGCTCCTGAAATTCCTAAAGAGTTGATTGACCAGCTGAAAGCCCCTGGACGTATGTTCATCCCAGTCGGTACTGGGTTGCAGAAGATCTTCCAGGTAGATAAAGATCAAGCCGGAAACGTTACACAAAAACCGTTGCTCGACGTCATGGTAAGGTTTTGTTTTCTAAACCCAACCGTATTTCCTGCTAATGCTGGTGGTGTTTAAATAGTATGTTCCCCTCACCGACCAGGCGACACAAGCGCGGAAGTTTTTCTGATTCGCGAAAGACATCTAGTCTTTATTCTGATTCTTTTATGTATATTTTAGCAGAACAAGTTGCTCTCGCCAACGTTCGTGTACAGAATCGCAATTCTTTTTATATCCGAAATCTGATAGCTCTCATACTCTCTGGGAAAAAACTTTCGGCTTCGGATTAACGGTCATTTTGGTCGTAACTGAATTTTTGCTGTCTATAAAGCTTAAAGTCAAGCCATCAAACGAATATAAGTTATATTCGGTCTCGGCTCTTGTGTGCGATGTCGCTTTTAAAATTATATGTTCCATTCTTCTATAGACACGAAGCGAACTACGAGGAATGCGGTAATGCCAGTAATCAGCAAGAGATACTACTCGGGTTATGCTTATGTAATTTATTTGGTTATGTTAGTCAGGTATCTGGCTTTGAAGTTTGAACCGAACGGATAAACTAGTCCACTATGATGCCAGGTAAGCATCATTCAAATCCTCCAATTAAACTTCGTTCACGGACACAGACATTCCTGATAAGTGCGTGAAGAATCTTGTGATCTCCGCTCGCTCACAAAGATGCAAAGACACCACACACAGTTCCGATGATCGGGCTGAAGACTTTGAAATTACTGTTTTCGTTGGGGAGCGCTGAGGTGTGCATGTGGCAAATATCGTCTTCAGCACTCAGTTACTGCAGAGATGCCGGACAACAGAAGACAAAGGTGCATACAAGGCACCGATACCAATCTGATGGTGCTGGTCCTCTGTCTCATACTGATATTGTCTCACGCGTTCTTGACCGCAAAAAGCCTCTGCAACGAGGAGTACTGTGTGTAAGTAGTGCTCATACTCCCTCAATTTGGACCCCTGCTTCGCGAGTGAGTCAACTGTTCGAATTCTGGTACTAATACTTATAGCGTCATAAGTCGCTTCAGTTTCCAGATGTAGAGCCTATTGATCGAGGGACTCGATGCTCATCTCAGACTATGCCGTACAGTACAGATCAAATTTGATTACGGTGAATACCCGCTCTGGCGCAACTGCGATTCCTTTAGTCCTCCTAAAACCCCTGTTTTCCGCACAATGTACTACTGGTCACCAAGCGCCTGCCATAACACATCTTGAATTTATAAAGCAAGCTGTTCGTTGGAGATTTGTAGCACCATCAGACCACACTTACACCAACTATGTCTATGCTTCGTCTGTGCTTCGCGGTTTCCATTGGTGTTCTCAATTGGGTAGTAACCTCGAATCCAGCGCCAAAGCCAAAGAAGCATGAGGAGGTGACTTCCAGTAAACAGGAAACGTCTTTCATCTCGATTGCTTTGAACTTCTATGGAGTTCCACTTGTAAGTTAGAGCTTATCAACTAATTTGTATCTTGTCTGACAATCCTTGTTTCAGGGGATATTGCTATTGGCTGCCGTCCTTGAATCATGCGTCGTTCTCGCAGTCCAGTACCCAACAGAGCTGTCGCCAGTCGTAACGTCCTTGCTTTTCCCGGAAGGCGGATTTGACTCAGCAGCACACGTTTCAATCACACCTTTCGCACTCATCACGGGGATTACTGCTGTATTCGGTTGTCTCCTACGCTATTTCTCTATCAAAAGGCTCGGTCATCTTTTCACCTTCCGTCTCGCCGTTCGAACCGATCACGCTTTAGTCACCTCAGGCCCGTACGCTTATGTTCGTCATCCTGGGTACACGGGTAATATAATCGCCGCAATAGGATCGGGAATGTTTTTCCTCGGCCCGGGATCCTATGCATATGAGTGTGGGTTGTTGAAGACGATTCCGGGAGTTATCTGTACAGTCACATGGGTAGGATGGAAATTATTCACGACCGTTAATATCATCCGTCGTACGGCCTTCGAGGATGAATTTCTCAGGGCGAAGTTTGGTAAACAGTGGGATGCATGGGCTCGGAACGTTGGGTACAGGCTTTTGCCAGGTGTCTATTAGTCTGCTTTTACAGTAAACTGAAACTACCAAAATGCAATCCTATTTCTCCGAAAAAAGCGGGTTAAAGGTAAGATCACGATAATCTGTAAATACGGACTGCTGCACCCCTCCCTATATCCTACTATTACCAGTATGTCCTGTTTCCCCTTGACTGCGTAGTTCTTTTGATATCTCATATTCATCGTTCTATCTCACAAAGTCGATCATGGTACATGGACATTATTCGAATGTTTTTTTATATGGTGCAAGCAGGTGCTTAGCTGCTCGGACACTGATAGGAATACAAATAGCATTACCACGCCTCCGCAGGGTCACGTAGGTAGATCATAACAATCAGATGTCTCAGGTCGCATCTCAGCCTTATACAGTACCTACTCTTCAGGCTGACGACTTGATAATTTTAGTCATTTCCCCACAAACTTTGTTGCCCGGAATATTAGTCAAGGATCCTTTGATGTTTACCTACTGACATTTTATATAGAGGTACTCTTCATGAGGATGCGTAGCCCTTTCAGTGTCCTCATCCACATCAAAGCATGTCTACGCTCCGATTATGCCTCACACTTTCCGTTGGCGTTCTCAATTGGATGATAACATCTTCCCCGACACCTCCTCCCAAGAAGGACGAGGAAATGACGTCAAGTAAACAAGAAACATCGTTTATCAAATTCGCCGTTCGCGCGTATCGTATTGCACATGTTTGTTCGGGTTTCCTGAAGCTTTGTTCCGCTAACTGATAATAACTATTCTAGAGCATATTGGTCATGGACGTCATATTTGAATCTTGTGTCATTCTTGCCGCTCGATATCCGACACTGATACCATCGTTTGTAACATCCCTGCTCATTCCTGAGGATGGAAACGATCTTGCAACGCGCATCTCTGTAACGACTTATGCCCTCATCGCGTGGATTATAGCGGCATCGGGCTGCTTCCTACGCTATTACTCTATTAAAATGCTTGGACGCTTCTTCACCTACCGCCTTGCACTTCGAAACGATCATGCTCTAATTAGTTCCGGTCCATATTCGTACGTTCGTCACCCTGGATACACAGGTGCAATCATCGCTGCGATCGGGACAGGCATGTTTCTTCTTGGTCCTGGGTCTTACGCTTACGAGTGTTTCGCGTTGCGAACCGTACCAGGCGCAATCTGTGCAGCAATATGGGTAGGATGGAAAGCCTTCGCGGCCGTCAACCTTATACGCCGTACGGCTTATGAGGATGAGTTTCTCAGAGGCCAGTTCGGAAAGCAGTGGGACGACTGGGCTCGGAAAGTCGGTTATAGACTTTTCCCCGGCATTTATTAGGACATTATCGATCGAGGGTTGCGGTGAGACGATGTTGAAATGTAAGTGGATTTTCAACGATAGAATTGACTTTATAGGCAAGATGACCAAAGAATTTTTCCCCCATTGTATCTACTCCTATTAAGAAATTACGCGATAACAAAAGAAAACCCCTACTGTTCGACAGCTGAAAAAATAGTTAGAATATAAAGAAAATGACATGAAAAGGAGGACGGCGATATGTAAGAAGACATCAGTTGTTCGTAGTGATACACCTTGTCGAACAGGTTGGCTCGATCCGTTAAAGTACATCATTCTTTCTTGTTTCAGCACATTCCGCATTCGCGCAGACTCTGTGGTATTTCCCATTATCCTTCCTCACAGTTTATCTTCACTATCCCTGCTCGTCTCACTCTTGCTAGTACGGTCACTGCCCGCACCCGCTGGCATTGGAAGTAGGCGCTTCATCCTTTGCGTAAACGGATACTCTAATCGTCCGTTCCAAATCCTCTTGAATCCAATGCGAATAATGATCAACGAGAAGACAATGCCCTGCAGGCAAGACGTATGTTTTAATAAACATAAGATTTTGAATCGAATTGAAATTAACTCATACGATTATCTGTGTTATCTGTGGTGTATGATAATACAATTAAGCATATGAGAGGAATATCCCTCGTTGGAGAAAGGATAGCTTGACTCACCCATTCGACTACTACAGCAAGTCCAAGAGAGCGCGCCAAAAATAGTCCGAAAAGGCCTAAGAGGGAAATTGAGTAGAATATCCCAGGATCAAGCAACACTACGACGAGAGGCGATAGGTCGAAAGTCGGAGTTGCAGCGGGCATCTTTCGTCTTGTCAACCAGATGCGGAGTGTGATAGCAACTACAAATCACTCCATCAGATGAGCGGAGATACGTAGAAGATAAATCGTACCTGTTCCGCCGAAATTCACAATAAAACTAAATGAAAAGAATGCAATCATCCAATTCAGCGGGTTGGAGGCCAACGAGAAATTAAAGTTTTGCTTCGAAAATGAAACGATCATTCCAATACCACTTGCTTGGAACGCAGGGTTGTAAGCTCAGACTGCCAACTGAAATAAAATGGTGTGACCGCTCACCGAATCCGCCAATGAATACGGCAAGGGCGGGTATCAACACTCGCTTATCTCCACTACAGACAATATATACACGATATAGCTGGGGCAAGAGAATTCAAGTTGTGACGGCAGAAGCTATTAAAATAACGAATGCTTACAATTAAGACATCCCCTATCAAGCTTTGGAGGGCATATATTACAATTCTGGACACGTCTAGGAAGCCCTGCTTTGTGCTTAAGTAGTCCGTAGATCCTCCTGTTTCGACATAACTATCGGTAAAGCCTTTTAAAGAGCGTTCCATATTGACGGCAAGATGCTGGAGCAAAAAAAGTTAAAGAATCTGAATAATATGTAACGAAGGACTCACCATAAGACCGAGGATATACATCACAGACAACGCCCAAAAGAACCTTATTCTCAAAGGGCCGCTCACAGTCGTTTTATAATGAAGTAAGTATGACGCCAATACGTAAAGCACGGTAAAAATGCCTAAGATTATGCTAGATTAGAACAAATAGATACTTTCGAGGCTTTAACTACTTACCGAAAAGCATTGACTCGATCATGATGGATACAAGACATGCCTTGTCAATTTCAAAAGCCATGTTGATGATACAATGAGGCTAACGTTTAGTGAAGGGAACTGCTAGCATACGAAACCATTGTGTCGACTTATTTATAATAGGGAAGGGTACAGCATGTCCATCACTATGCAGTCGAGGAGCTGATCCGGAAGCAATTACTTGTTCAACAGGCGGTAGTAATTCCATGACAAAGGATGGGTGTGCTCTTCATGTTCGCACTGATTTCTCCCATGGATTTCATGAATGTAGCCAATCGAAGGGGTACTCTCGGCTACCAATCAGTTAGCATCAGAGGAAGTGTAGCTGTCACAACATCAACGTTGATTGTAGTGATTCTGTACACAATGTCTGTTATAGCAACATAGTAAGGAAATAGACAGTGACGACAATCCGACTCCCGCAGTCGTATATTATGATGATCATACCTTCGGTAACCAGTCCGACATAGTTCATTGTTGCATGCAGCCGCCACCCCTAGTTCCATCCTGGTTGGGTACTGTATCCAGACAGAGACAGCGCACTTTGGTTGATACCCGGGAAGTCCATCGCCAGCATCTTCCGGCAACAATAATAATTGCGGCTACGCCATGTACAGGGACGCTATCCGAGTGCATCCTGAGATCCCAGGCAGATATCCAGTCGTCACTTCATTTTATAACGACAAAAGGAAGAGTTTCTAGTGACATTTTCTAGCAAGTGGCAAAACAAAAGAGAGCAGGACGATGTGGGCGAACGGACGAACGGCCTTATTGGCTTTCGCAAGAGTCTCAGGCTTCAGCTGCATAAACAACACGTGATGGGCACGTAATCTCCTGTCTATAACACAATTTTCATGGACATGAATACAAACTCTTCGGCGGAAAGCTACATAGCACTACACATCGGTATGGGATACAGGTCCATTCAATAATTTGATTCTGTCCAGCTTCTTAGACTTCTCAGACTTCCCTACTTCTCGAATTCGTTAAGCACCTCGGGTGAATTTAGGTATTCCGTCTTTTCCAGATGGAAGTCTTTAAATAACTCGATTAGTTCAAAGCAAGATAATACGAGTTATGATGAATTACCATCGTTAATAGCAGTGATGTTATTCCTCATGAGCTGCAACACTTGTCTTCCTTTCGACGTAAAGCGTGGCCAAGACGCTTTGTCATGTTTTTTTTTCAATTAGAAGGCGATGAAAGAAGGATAAAAGTGAACCACTCACGTCCCGGATTCATATCCGAAATGAAGTTAATATAGTAGTCCAACATAGTGTTTGCAAAGTCATCTTCGATTGGCGTTGGAACTGGGCCAAAGAGTAGAGGTAGCTCAGACGCATGAGACACTGGGGCAGCTTCGGTTAGTCATCTTGACAATCATAATCACGAAACGAGGAACATACCTCCGAATGTTGGGTTGTTCCCTGGGATGAACTCTCTGAAATGATAAGCATACAGAGGTTGCAGGGACGCCGCTCGGTCAAAGAAGAATCGGCGTGGTGCAAGGAACATATTATCACCGTACCAAGCCGAACCTCTGTCATACAGCGAATCTCCAGTGTTGAATGGAGCATCATTCTCTGGATCATTCGCAGGATACAATTCATGGATCCTATTAAGGACGTCTGGGGTCAAGGTACGGTTGTCCAGGATTAACCGTCCGATAAAGTTGTCGAAAGCCTGATCCTCTGTCATTCCCGGATGCGTAATGTTGATGAGAGTTTCGCTAAATGTTTTACCCTCGTTGAGCTAGGTATATGGATCACCGTTAGAAAAATTAGTTACGGGAATTGCGTGTTACAGAATACTCAGTGAAGCCCTCACATTAGTACCAGCGAGATACGGAACATGTAAGAAATTTCCCGAGCTAATTTTTGCAGATGCCCTCTCTTCTACAATGCCTCCAGGCGGTCCTACGGTTGGCTCCCACAGCTGTGTGTTCAAAGTTGATGAGATCATCTCGTTGCTCACTTGTAAAAGCGTCTATGCGGATGAATAGCATTATTAATGAGCTGAGCGATGCACAGTTGCTTAATCATACCTCAAATGGAACACTCTGAAGACATTCAACTGACTCGGAGCTCAGAGGGCACCCGAGGTTCTCAACTAGGCGCGCAAATGGCTTTCCTGGCTCATCATATTGGAATGCAAATGGTGCGCTCTTACTAGAAAAATACATTCATTATTTCTTTCTGTCAACGAAAGCTTGTTTCAGCAGGATGGCACTTACAATGGACCAGTTGGCGAATCTCCCATGACAGCTCGGAACAGCGATTGATTTGTTGGATAGACCATATGAGCTAGAGTACTACCAGCGCCTGCTGACTGAAGGCAGCGTAAGTTGAGTTTCTGAAGAAAAGAGGGTAAATTTTACTTGGCCCCATATAGTGACCTATCTGACGGTTAATCTGAACAGCTTGATGAAACACTGAAAGCGTAGAACCTACCTTGCTCGGATCACCGCCAAATTTTGCAATGTTCTCTCGGATGAACTTTAGAGCTAGTGTCTGATCTTGTATCCCATTATTAAGATCTTGAGGAGCAACGTGGGAGCTGGCCAACTGGCAGATAATTAAGTCGTCAGTACGTGTACAAATGTAAATTGTCGACACTCACGAAACCAAAGGTATTGACGCGATAGTTGCTAATGATCGCAGTCAATCACATTGCATTAAAGTGTGCAAGACATGGTCTCACAAGGATGCAAACATGAAGGGTTTCCCGTTTAAAACACCTCGATTGATCATACCTGAGTATCAAGAATGAGTGTATTTCATCATTTTATAATAAAGTTAGCGAACGAGTTGGATCGTATGAGTGGATGGATGCAGCTCTTTGATAAATTTAGCTCGAATCTTGAGGAATGGATCGAGTGCCTACCCCGACGTCCACTGCCCTCCCTGCGAAATGCACAGACATATTAGTTAAGCTGTTTGGAATCAATGAAAAGCACACTAACGTAGATCCATGCCAGCACCGGTAGCTTCGCATCAGACGATGTCCCGTCGGGTCTCCAGACATTTAGATAGAGACAGTCTTCGCTCATGGGAGCGCCAAGTGACGCAGGCCGCTGTGGACAGGCGTCTCCGAATGTCGACGCATTCTTGATTCCGGCTGGTGCTGTAGTGATTGGGACGGGTGCCTTGAATCTGAGGCTTCCGACAGGGGGCTGGGCGAATGGAATACCAAGCCAGCGTTCCGTTCCATTTGTAGTTAGAACACCTTGGAATGCTCCAGAGGTCGTGTCAACAACTAAGCCATTAGGACTAGGAGCTGCCCACACTAGAGGCAGACTAATGAGCAGCCCAAGAGACGAGACAGCTTTCCAAAGACGCATCCTTTCAAGCTGGGGTTGTGGCACTGACCTTCTTTGAAAGAAGATTATATAGGGCTAGGAAGTATATACCTGGGCCAAGTACACCAGACGAGCCGTTCAGCTAGAATCCTCAGTAGAATACTGCCTCGAATCACACAATACGACTTGCCGGCCCATGTCACGAGGTGCTATTTACAAACGTGCGTTTGGCCTTCTAGGCCTTGTTCACTTGAAGAAAGAAGCCGCCGATGCCATCCGGTCTGCTCGGAGGGCTTCCAGACGTACCGGGCGGAGCGACGGAACCGATTAAACTGTTAGAGAAGCGTACGAGAAAATTTGTCGTATTCATATAAATAATTAGAACCCGAGTAGTTTCAAGCAAGAAGACCCGAAGAATACCTCAGAATAACCCCAGAACGATATAGTTAGACCATGCCACAAGCTCGTCGTCAGGAATAGATTCAGCATTCACTTCTTCCGCCAGGAATGGAATTAGAGCGGACCAATCGTAGGAGGAAAATCGATAAACTTCTGCTAGAGACCGGAAAGGGCGCAATGTGAGTGCTGTTGTAATTGGCGTGAGGACTGCTGAATGAGTCAGAAACGATTGCTGTGATGGGTAGTATCCTTGTAACACATGGCCGCACCACTGTCTTATGCACTGTGTAGTGAACGTCGCCAAGCAGTAGTGCATCAGGGCAATCATCTACACCGTCTCTAGCATTGCAGTTCCCGGTCGACTGGCTGCGGTAGTTGCGATGACTGCGGCGGACGTCAATGTGCTAGAGATTTGTGCGGTATCCGTTAATTACGTCATCACAGCTCACGCTTACTACCCACTGCATTTCTCGACTCGCTGACTGCAGTGTGCTTCCGTCAATCTTAACGTTTCAATCCTCCTATCTGTGAATACTCCCTATCTGTGCACCCAACAGATGGATTCAATAAGGTAGCCAACGGAAGGAGTGCTCTTGGTTATTTATCACGTAGTATCATAGGAAGTGTGGCATTGCTGGTATCATCGTTGATTGTGGTGATTTCGAGCACAAAGTCTGTTATAGCAAAATAGTAACGAAATAGACATTGACAACAATCAAACTCCCGCAGTTACATTTCATGATGTTCATAGCTTCGATCATCATAAACCAGTCCAACACGTTTCATGGTAGCATTCACCCGCCAACCCTAGTTCCATTCTGGTCGGTACATTGGATCCAGACCTCGCATTTCGGTTCGAGCCCAGGTGGTTCATCACCCGCATCCTTCAGCAATAACGCGACTACACCATGCGCAGGGACGTCTGTTGCAGTAAAGTTCCGGACCGCCGTTCCGTTATCCGTGTGCGACCAGAGATCCTATACAACCTGTCAACAATCGAGTAAAACCGAATAAGAAAATCATCGACTCACACGAACTGAATACTGTCTGCCAGCTCTAATCCACGGTGATTCCGTCAGATTGAAGTACATATCCGTTGGCTGATCGAGAGTGTTCAACTAAAGACATTGTTAGCTCAGGATTCACGACTTTGATACAATTCAGACGCACAAGCATGACAATTGTGCCGTTTTGCGTCGGTCCACTCCAATATCCCGCAGGGTTATTCGGATCGTTCGTCCAATCGGGCTACATTGGCATGAGTCCGGGTAATCTGTAATTAAAGTAACGGAATCTCACGTTAACACCCCATCGGAACGGCGAAATACTCATTCCCACAACGGGGTCTTGATTAATCGCTATCAGCTCGCGGTTTTTCATAATTTCCAGGAGACTAAGATCCAAGGCAGAAAGCTGTAGGGTTATTATAATTGAGCATTCGGACACCTTTTTTCTACGGGAAATAAACACCTACGTTTGTGCTTATGAAAAGTGGTGACTTCATTAATGCCCAGGCAGTGAAATGTGATTTTGCCTCATCGAACGTCAGCCCGCCGTTGCCTCTGTGAGAACGAGTCAATATAGTCAGTGCATGTTGTAAATATTTTGCGTACATTTGAAGCTAAAGTAGTTCATTGAGCAAGATGTCCGTTTGACAAAGGAAGGAAACGTACATAGTCCAAATCGTTGTGACCGTTAAAATCAGTTGCCATCGTAATGAAAGAGTTACTACATCGAAGTGCTTAAGTTTCAGTTTGGATAACATCGAATGTAGGCGCACAAATTGATCGTGTTGGTCAATAAAGGCCAAGTCGGACCGATATCATTCACCTAACGACATTTAAAACCTGTTCAGATGATAACTCGGTGGTATTCACTGTTCGCCAACTTTGGCCAAGATTCTTTCCCCAAAGCCAGACTTGGCTCTATACGCACGAGATACGAGGTGTCAGTCACACTACTCTGACCCAAAGTAATCAGAAATGCTTACCCAACCCCACTCGCATAGGTTGAAAACCAATGGTGGCTTCCCGGATGACTTGGCAAGGTCGGCGATTGCATCGGCCATCCGCTGAAACTCTACGAGATATAAGCCTTCGAATGAGTAGTTTGTATCAGGCTTCACTCACTTCCCATTGTATTCTGGCGCAAAATATCGTCGTATGGGACTTCAAATGGTATTAGTCTGACAAACAAGGAGTAAATGCCTAACACCGACTTGCGCAATTATCGTACCTAATCCAGCAAGGCGTCAGCTATAACCTCAAGGAAGATAGGTGAAACACACTTCAAAAAGTTAAATCCCCAATCTTGGAACGTCTTCGCATCCCGTGCCTCATTCTCAAAGGAGCCAGGGTACCCCGCGCACGTGAACCATCCAGAATCCGAATACTAGACAATTATATCAATAAATTTTTAAGAGAGCTTGAAAATAAATTTCACTCACTATTCCGGATTTGCTGAAGTGAACACATCATTGAGCACGCCAAGAGACTGTAAACATTAGAACGCTTACAATCCCATTGAATGGACTTGATCTGTCAACCAGTTGAATCCGGAGCTGAAGCGCGTTTTATCTGCGGTGGATCTCAGTTGACATAGAGCTGGACTGCTATATGTTCACGTACCAGGGACGAGGTCTCCCGATTCGCTGCGATTCTTCTCTGCCCAGCAGTCATCAAGGTTAATAAATTCGTAGCCAGCGTCCTTTGTAATGTTATTATAGAAAAAAAAAATTAGCACAGCTCCATTGCTTAGTAATGGTCATTACCTGAAGCCCAAGAGACTGCATCAATTTTGCGGTCGTAATAATCAAGTCTTGATCGATATTGCACTGGAATAGTTACTTCAGCCATGTCAAATACTATTAATGACAATCATTGGACCTGCCTGGTATGCATACCACGCTTCACAAATGTTATTCAAGTGATATTAAACTTAAGCCATTCCAGATGTACTTACTATTATATCCCATAGCTTCCACTTAACATTAGAAGAATACATGTAGTATCAAATGAGCAAGTACGCACAAGGAAGTCTTGCGACGCCATTGTCGAGAGCAGATACCCCATATGAACAGACTAGAGCTACAGCAAGAGTCGTGACGATGCCCGGGGCCATCGACTTGCGCCTTGTCCGAGTTGGTCCAGAAACCTGATCCCAGGGCATTGCAGAGTGTGTCCGTTGAGTCGACCGAGTCAAATAGACAGTTTTATATTATCCAATCTTAACCTCTCGGTAGACAAACAATTTACATTTCGACAGGAGAAATTGAAAACCTCATGGTACACTGGTCTTATGACCAGGGGGGAGAGGCTTAAGCGCTCGGACACCAGAGACAGCAGGGAAGTGACGTCAAAAACAGAACGGCACAAGAGGATTCAATATGGGCGACAAGGGCATGCTACCGCAAGAGAGCGGACTTGGCAGAACGTGAAGTGTTCTTTCTTCTTGATAAAATATGCATGCTGGTACCGACGTGTGGACTGGCACAACCGACCGACGTAGAAGCAGACGAAACGGGCGAGGTTGGAGATACAGCTTGAGCTGGCAGAGCTCCTGTCAACGCTTACGGATCCGATGATCATCCACATGACAGACTTGCGGGCGCAAATGCCGAGTATATATGAACAAAGAACAAGGCGGCTGCAGAGTAGAGGAGAAGGGATAACGTTGACGGGTCCGACGACGGTCCGAGTCTGGGCACGTGCTTCTTGTCACAAAGCCATCACAGAGAGAGAAAAGACGTTTGCCTCCCTCCCACACTCGTCTTTGCAAACTTGGACATACACGAGACTGCAGAGTACATCTGTGACATACAAGACTCGGGTAATATCTAAGAATTGACAACTGGTTCTGACGGCTCGCGAGATAGCTCCTTTCCGTTTATCCTCACGCTTCTCAAACGTTTGGTTCTTTTTCGCTGATGCCCTCCCCGGCACATGCTTCACCCGTTTTGCAATCATGATCATCGAGTTCGAGAACTACGGAATGGACAGGCACATGAGCAGACTGTTGGGGAGCTATATCAAGGCCTTACCTCGCTGCACAGACATTATATTCGTGTCGCGCTCGGCTTGCGAGATCGTGCCGAAAATAATATCCATTTCCTCGAGGCTCTTACCCCTCGTCTCTGGAATCATTCTGTGACAAGGCATAGATGATAAGCAGAAGGCCCTATCAAACTCTTGCGATTCTTACAGGGAAAATGCAAACATAGCTCCTATGTCGATTGTGCCATAGAGTATGAAGATCTTCCAGCCAAGGCTCGCGATGAGGTTTGGCGTAAGGCGACTGACAACGAAGTTCCAAAGCCATTGACTCCCGCTGGCGACTGCGAGGCCGTGATGGCGCGTACCGTGTGAGAAGATCTCGGCGACATATACCTTGACGAATTGTATTTAGGGAAAAGGGCAATATGCCAAACGGAATACCTCCTACCCAAGGTAAAGGACCCCAGCCGACGCTATAAGTGACATCAAAGATGTACAATAGGGCGGCCATGGCTTTGCTCGCCGACGAAGGAGACGCTCCAACGGCAACGGCGGTTGAGGGCGGATACGTTTTGAGAATCGCACCAATTACGTAGAACGTGATTCCGCAGCCAAGGGAGCTTAAGGCCAAGTACGTCTTACGACCAAGACGCTCGACGAAGAAGAAAATAAATATTGTAGTCGAGACGACCTTTACGATTCCATATACCCCGGATGCTAACAGCGATTGCGTTGCCCCATGGTAACCAATCTGTTGTATGATTGTGAGCCTTCTCGAGGACATGCCAATGGCATTGATCTGGGCGTTGACGTACTGCTTCGAACATCTGCGGAGCGAAGTAATTCACCTGATTAGGTATGACAATTTAGTATCGTAACGGGATATATTTCCATAATTGCCTACTGAGTTCTGGCCAGTCCATTGTTGGAAGAAGAGTAGAAAGAAAGCGATTACAAAGCGAGACAGATGTCCCTTCCCGAGGTAAATCTCCTTGAGACTCAGTCCATCTTGTGCTTTTCGTTCTTCCTCGATTGCTGCCTCAATCTCAGCCATTTCATCCCGTACGCTCTGCGAATTTACGCTTTCCTTGCGTAGGTATGCGAGTGTTTCCAAGGCTTCAGTTGTGCGTCCACGAGAAGCGAGCCAACGTGGAGACTCTTTGGTAAATAAAAGTCCAATGGCCATCATACCTGCTGGAATGACTTGCACTCCGAACGGAATCTGCCATACGCGCGGACCAGTAATGTTTTGCCGACTGACTCCAACTTCAGGAACTGTCAGAATGAACATTTCTTTCGTATTAGCTCAATGCTTACAATTAACGAAGTACGATAACATCACTCCGAAAACAACCAGGATCTGGAATAGTCCCGTAAAGCGACCACGAACTTCTTTAGGAGCGCATTCGGAAACGAAGGCCGGACATATCGCAGAGAGACCTCCGATTCCAATCCCAGCGACAACTCGACCCGCATATATGTAGCCTAATCCACGACCACCGACTCCTGCGATTAATTGCAGGATCTAGACGCATTAAACGAAGAGAAAGACGGTAATCAAACAACGACGTACTGCGCCAAGCATGAAAATGAGGGAAAAGCTTATGAGACCTCTTCTCCGTCCAAGTCGGGCTAATCCGGGCCATATGCGATATTAATGGCCAAGAGATAACGAAATATATCAAAAAGGTGTGTTCGTATTAATTTCCAAGCACCGTACGGTTGATCGGTCAGTATATGAACAATCGCACATCCGTTGTCCTGGTAAATCTGCTGTCAATCTGAAAGTGACTCACAAGAGATCGGTGCACTCCCCAAGGAACCGAAGAATGCTCCCGCCTGAAGCACTGATACGACGTTTCCGGAGACGTTGGTCACCTTATCAGCATCAATGTTTCCCTTGTCATCCAGAAAGAAGTGGTCTATAAAGGCATCTTGTGCAATGACTCCGCCAGCGACTCCTCTGTTGAGTAACATCATGAATAGTAAGCCCACATTAATGAGAATACACACGTGTCATAACCAAAGGAAATGAGGCCGCAAAATACAACAAATGCAAGCCCTGACAAAGTGTATCAGACAAAGCCAAGCGCAAAGGAGGATAGCTCACAGTACGCTCGACTATTCTTGAAGTCTATCCAGGTGGTCATTGTCTAAAAGCACAACCTCCACAAGCACAATCGGCCTCGATTGAAGCAGAACACATTATAAAGCGTGTATTCTCCTTCAGCGTCATCTGACAGTCGCGGTGCAAAGTGCTACCGGATATATATTAGGCATTTTTGCTGCTTCTTGATTTCTTCCTCATTATTTTCTTTGTATCATTAGACTGCTTTACATCACATGGTCCGCACTTCGATATTAAAATGTGTGGAAGTACACCGGGCCGTGACCGGTGATAAAACCATCACCGCAAGTACTAGGCCATGTTTTCAGCAGAATACCCAGCATATAGCTATTAAGCTAAGAATAAGAGATATGGACTCTAGTGAGGAGCACTCTTATGACATATGCATGAATTTCACCAGCACTACAATACGCTGTAACCGAGATTCCATTACCATTAGCGATGCCCTCTGGAGGAGGACCTGTTCTAGAACGTGCATCGACCTGCAAAAGAATAATAAAATCACTGTGAAACAGCACTGTGGTGACTAGCATTTGCATCTCTTTTGTTGCACTTGCTGTAGTTAGTATAAATATAATGGAAGCAGTTGTTAGCAGATTAGCTTGTCCTTCTTGTTATTTTGGTACCTCTTCCCAGGCCTCAGCTGCCAGTGAGCAATTCATACTATTGTATTATGAGATGATTAGTTCATCAACAGACAAACCATAAGACAATGACTTCATAATGTCTCAGTTAGAATACATACAATATAAGGACAAGAGACACTGAGCAGTCAATCATCACCTTACCCCTTGTCTATACATGCCCCCCTTAAGTTTTCCCTCTCAACAGGTTATGAGCCTTGAGCTCCCTACATACACACATCCACTGTACACTCTAAACTCTTTACTCACATACATTTGCACACATCTGTATCATGGTTCCCCCACATACAGATACACACTGTAAACCAGCCAATGTACCTAAATACTTTGGTCAAAACATCACAATGCTTAAGACCAAAGCAAACTACAAGATGTGGCACTACTGTATCATTTCTAGTGTTGTAGCTACATACTTTGAACACTTACTAAAGGATGAACTACAGAACAAAGCTGAGAGGGAGATGGCTAAAGCCATTCACACATGCATAGTTAATAACATTGCTGACACAATATTGGCAAACTATATACACTTTAATACATCTATCCCTTAGTTAATGAAAGTGCTTGAAGAATGCTTTAACCCTTAGACAGTATGTAAAAAGGCTATTGATGAATCCACACTGTTTATTTGTAGAGATTATGTAAAACATTTCAGACATACACTAGACAGACTTGAGGAAGCATACACAACTCTGTCTGTTAACAGTGATCCACCACACAACTCTACATACAAAGTAGCAATATTGCTTACCACTCTCAAGCAATATACACACATAGTAAATATGATAATACAATCTACTAATGCCCAAAACAAAGGCAAACCAGTTAATGAACATAAGAAAGTCAAACCAAAGCAACTAATCCTTACATTACAGAATGCCTACAACAATTACTGTACTAAACAAGTACAAGATTCCAATGATTGGACAAAGAATAATGTACACACTAATACAATGTATAAAGCTAATAAGTGGAGGAAATTCAATCTGCCAAATCTGTTCAATCTGACAAAAGTGAAATGTTTCAATTGTAGAAAAACAGGACATTTCTCTAAGGAATGCTGTAAACCTCCTACTGAAGCTACAAAGCTTGCCTGCACCAAACATCAAGCTAACATTGTGTATAAAACAAATCAAACTGTAGAAAACACAACAAACACATTTATTATTGAAAACCCAAACAAAAACAATGTTGAATTAAAGGAAAGCAATATTGAAATGAACAATAACACCTACACTCGTATTCTGAGCAACCAGGACAAACAATTCAAACAATATGCTTCCTAGGTATGTACCAATGTATTTACAAATACAATCATAGCTAACAAGAAATCCTATACACAAATGATGGATTTACTTGATTCTAGTGTATTAATACATGCTACTCCTTATCTATTTCAATTAACAAATGTACACAACATAACTCCTACAATTGTAACTATTACAAATAGATCAACAATGACTCTTAATCAAGCTGAATCTATGTGTATCAAAATCCTGAAGAATATACAAGAAAGAAGTGTTATAACATTACAAAACATCTATTACTATCTACAAATGACCTTTTCCCTCATAAGTCAAGTACTACTATGTAGGGAAGGTTATTCTTTTATGTTTACAAACAATAATTGTACTATAACATCATTATGTAACAAATACATCAGACATATATGATTGAGAAATAACTTGTATATTTTGTACAATAATTATTTGTTAAAAACAATGAACAAACTATCTATTTATGATATACATAAACACCTCAGACATATAAGTTACAATTATATTAAACAATTATTAAAGACACAACCAAGTGTACTATCAATTAAAATAACAAACTACAAAGAAAAAGAATGTATTAAATGTATAAAAGCAAATATTGAACATACACTAATACTAAAACTACATCAATCTCCTTGTAACCTTGTGGAGGTTACACACGATCTGTTAGCCTCATCACATGACTTATCTTATAAATAGCTCTAAGACATTCCTGAGACAGTATCTCTTCTTGTACCTCCTTCAATACTAGTCAATTGCCTGTTCTACAACCTGAGTGAGACATTGTCTCCACTTTTTTTTGAACACATAGCAAGATTACTGTATTTGTCACAAATGCACAAGACTACAATTCCTAACTAAAGTACATGATGCTGCAAGTCATTCCAATGTTTAAAGAGCCTGGTTGTCCTTGAGTACAGTGTAGGAGTGTTCTTTTGCTTCCTTGGAGACTCTGAGATTAGTAAGAGTAGCCTTGTGACCTCTAATAACATTCCCTGTGTTCTTGCCAGCTTCTATGTCAGGCTGCTGAAGCTTACTACTGTCCCCCATTTCCTTAAGGGCTTGTTGCAAGCACTCCTTAGCTTCCTCAGAAATGTTCAGATTCTTTAAAGCTGCCTTGTAGCTACTAGTAATGTTTCCAGTGTTCTTACTAGTCTGTATTGACAACATGATTGAAATTTGAAAGGTTGTGAGCAAACAGGTATGTATGCTAGTGAAAGTTGTTGATTGAGTGTCACAATTGTCTGGCCTGCCAACTGTTATAAAGACTTACTAGCTTCTTCTACTGTCAACCTGCTACCTGCTACTCATTACTTGTACCTGCCACCTGCTACCTAGACCTGCCACTTGCCACCTGCCTCCTACACTCAACCTGTCACTAGCTACTAGCCACCTGTCTACTCTAACATGCCCTGTCCTCTAGCCTAAATTAGTAGTTATAAGTCTAACTCTGCCCCTACTGTAACAGACAGTCAAATGACCCTAAAGCTCCTTAGTAAATATGCCTACAAATGTGCTACCTTCTTCACACACAAGAATATTCCTAACAATGAACAAGTCTGCCTCATTATACATAGTCTTGAGCCTATTAAAGTCTGTAGTTGGTATACAGTCTAACCTGGCTGGATTAAGGCTATAGAGTTTGAAGAGTTCATTACCAACCTTAAGGGAATTGTTCTCAAGTGTAATTAGGACCTTAAGCTGTGTGATGAAATCGAAAATCTTAAACAGGATGGAAAACATACTAACAAGTTCTATTTTGAGATTCTTGGCCAAAACCATCTCCTCAGCAGAAGTCCTACCATCCTCTCTTACTAGGAAATCTGCTTTCTTATAAGCACTCATCTAGATATTGACCTTAAACAAGTGTGCTCTGAACCTGGAATTCAAGGTATTACTAACTTCTAGGACTAGCTTACTACTGTTTGTAAGGCTGACAACTGTGTATGTAACTACTACAAGCTTATTACAGATACAATCTATAGTTATAAAGGCAGTTGTGCCACACAGTCAGCTCCCTCTTTCTCTAGTCCCTTAAGGACTTCTAATACAATTTCTCAGGCCTAAGAGAATGTAGCAAGCCTGAAAATTAAGAAACTCTCAACTGTAGAGAAATTCACACTCAATTGTCACAATAGATGCTTCAAATACTGTTTTATGTATGTTAATCACCTTATAAAGGACTGTCAGATCCTGTATTCAAGAATAAATTGTATGTCTATTACTGAAGCAGAAGGTATCTGTCTACATTCAAAGTACATACCCTCTCTACCATCTTTGAACCATGTCAAGTCTGTGCCAGTTGTATCAATCACAACTAATCTTTAGCTTGATCAACTTCCTAACTATGTGTGTGTTTCATTACAGCTCAAGCTACTTGCTACTACAAGTTCATCATTGTCCTATTAAGAAGAAGATACAGTAGTAGTTACTCTCAGGGTAGAAATGCTCTCAGCTGTCTATATTGATGACTCAGACAAGTATGTACCTATTAACCCCCCCTCAAATCTATTAAGAGTATCTGCTAGACAGTCCTGTAACACTAAAACCCTTGTCTGTCTGTACCCTTATTGACAATAGCTCTTCTCTAACAATTATTAATGAAGCACTTGTACATAACCTCAGATTGCCCTGTTTCTGTCTCTCTAGCCCTATTTATATCTCCCTTACTCTATTGAATTCTTCTTCTAATTCTTTACAAACCCTACATAAATATGTTAAACTCTCCCCTACTTCTGTTGATTACACCTGGAAATCCTACACTATTAGGGTAGTAGTTGCCCCCTCCCTGTGTTCACTAATCATTCTAAGCCTACTATTCTTACTTGTAAATAGAATCACAGTCTCTTATTATTACACACAGACTATTTGCTCTACTCCTAACTACCAGCTCCTGTCTATATCCTACTAGATTCCAACTTTACAAGTATTGTAAGTTGACTCTCCCTCTCCAGACATTATCTTAGTAGTACATACAAAAATCTAAGAGCTTGCCTCACAGGATCAGCTCTCCAAGTTAAGTGATAGCCTGTGTAAGTAATACACTTTACTTTTCTGTTCAGAGCTCCCTCATGTGGACACACTCCCTTCTAATGTTTTCCACTACTTCAAATTGAAAGATCCAAACCTTCAGATAAAGCCTTACTAGTACTCCTACCTTAGAAAATATTGTAACACATAGGAGGTCCTTCTACAGAGCCATCTTCTGACTAGCAGATTAAGACCCTCTTCTAGTCCTATCTCCTCTCCTACTTTCCTCATTACTAAATTGGACCCTTCAGCTCTTCTACATATGGTTTGTAATTATTAGGAGCTTAACAGTAATACAATACCTAATAACTATCTACTACCTTGAATAGACAATATTCTGGCTGACTGTGTAAAAGGTCTTATTTAGAGAAAAATTAATATAATGAATGCCTTCTTTCAGACCTGTGTTCATCCTAATAACATTTACTTGACTGTAATCAATACACTACTTAGACTCTATGAATAGACTGTCATACTTATAGGCTGTAGAAATGCTCCTGCCACCCACTAGTGTTGTGTGACAGAAGCCTTACATTGTCTTATTAGTAAGATCTGTCATGTTTATCTGGATGACATTATTATCTGGTCTGCCAATCTCAAAGCCTATACTAAGAATATCTCTGTTATTCTAGACTCCCTTCAGGAAGTACACCTCTTCTGTTCTCTAAAGAAAACCTCCTTGTTCTGTTTATTAATTGATTTCTTAGGTTATCAAATAGATTAGTAAGGTATATACACAGACTCTACTAAAACTGAGAAGATTATATAATGGCTAGTGCTACAATCTTCTTCAGACACACAGAGGTTTCTTAGTCTTGTCTGGTTTCTTACTCCCTTTCTACTTAGACTTACAGAACATACTACTGTCTTGAACCCTTTGACATTAAAGGAATGTGATAAGGATTTCCCATACTAGTCTTCAAAGTTTCAACATGTGTTTAACACTATCAAGGCTCTTACTATGTCTGTACAATACTTAACAGTCATTAACTACCTGGATCCTAGTAACAATAAGATCTATCTCTACACAGATGCCTCAGATCTCTATACAGGCACAGTTCTCTCCTTTAGGCCTTTACTGGACTTGGCTTGTCCTGTTACTTATGACTCTACTCTCTTAAAGTCTATAGAGTGTAACTACCTAGTCTATAAGAAGGAATTGCTTACTATTGTAAAAGCTCTTAAAAAGTTCTACTCCAACCTTCTGGGAACTACATTCACTGTATTTATGAATCATAAGACACTCACAAGTTTCCTTTCCCAGAGAGATCTCTTATACTAACAAGTATGTTGGCAAGAATTCCTGGCTCAATACATTTTTAATGTTTAATACATGTCTAGCAAACAAAACAAAGCTGCTAACACTCTGTCCAGACTTCCAGATGAGGAATTCTCCCCCTCTACAGTAGTATCCTCCTACCTTACAATCTCTACAGATGAACAATTACTTCTTCAAATCCAATTGTCCTACAAAGATGACTTATTCTGTACTAAGCTCCTCTCTCAGCCTCTCAAATCCCTTAGTGTTTGAGTTAAGAACAGTCTACTGTTCTTAGGTGACAGGCTTGTCATTCTGTGTGTCAATCAACTCTGTAAACACTTCTACAAACTCACTCATAACTCTATAGGCCACTTTAGGATTAACAAGACTTATGTAACACTGAAATCATTGTTCTACTAGTCAAACATGTATTCTGACCTTGAAAATTCATACATTAAGTAATGTGACTCATGTTAGAGGTATAAATTGTCTACTTGAAAACCTGCCAGTCCTTTACACCCTCTTACTATGACTAACCAGTATAGTAATACAATTACTATTAACTTTATAAGTCCTCTGCCTCCAGACTACAGGTTCAACAGAATTACAACTATTACTAACTAACTTAATAGTAACATTTGCCTACTCCCTATCTGTATGAGCCAAACTCCTGAAGAGTTTGCCTGTGTTTTCTTCAACAGATAGTATTGTGAAAACAGCCTTCCCCTCAACATTATCTTGGATCAGGATCACCTCTTTACCTCCAAGTTCTGGAAGGCTCTTTATAAAATTTTAGGGGTTAAACTAAAGATGTTTACAGTTTATTACTCTCAAACAGATAGAATCTTAGAATGTACAAACAAGTCAGTCATTTAGGCACTTTAATTCTACATTAACTGACAACAAAAGGGCTAGTACTGTACACTACCTTGTGTTCAGTTTAAGCTTATAAACACTAAAAATGTGTTAACAGGATTTTCCCTCTTTCAACTTCACCTTAGCTAATGCCCCTGTCTGATCCTACCTTTTATACCCTTACTAGATAACAAGCCTACCCTTCTAGAGGACAAGTAAGCTTGTTCTCTCATCCAGCAGCTTGATCTTAATGTTGTAAAAGTGTGGGACTCTCTCATCCTAGCTAAAACTTCTTAAGCTCATACTACAAACTGGAAGAGGAGTCCAGAAGACTCTTATACTCCCAGTGATTTTGTTATACTATCTACCTTCTATCAGTATTAAGATTACACTCAGGGTGGTGACAATTGTGTAGCTAAATTCATACTAAGATAGAACAGTAAGTACTGTGTCCTTAAGGCTTTCCTAGAACACTCTACTTACTAGCTTGAATTGCTAAACTCTCACACCAAATTTTCTACCTTCTATACATCTTAGCTTAAACAATACTATACAAATAATCCTGTGTTATACTCTACACATGAACTTGTACAACCTCCTCCTGTCCTCACAGAGGAAGGACTCAAAGAGTAGGAAGTAGAAGCTATAATTGATTAATGAAGACAAGAACACAGCCTCTAATACCTTGTTTGCTAGAAAGGGTACAGTCTAGAAGACAATCTTTAGTTGCTCAAGCAGGAACTAGACAACTGTGTAGTATTAAACTAATAGGAACAACAGTTACACACTGACTCTCATATATAGCCCTCCTTAATCCTCAATTTCCATTCTACAAAACACTTGTACAGTGTGTTCAACTAATGCCTTCTCCTCTCTTAACTTTATCTTTGTATTTAACACATCTTTTCTCTTACAGACATTCTCAATTTCCATTCTAATATATCCCTCCTTCTTCAATCCCTTCCCTGCCTTGCCTGTTCCTTACCCTCTATATTTATTCACACACTCTTACACCACTCTTCCCTTTCCCCTCTTTCTCTCTTCTTCCTAGTAGGGAAGAGTGTAACCTTGTAGAGGTTACATACAATCTGTTAGCCTCATCACATGACTTATCTTATAAATAGCTCTAAGACATTCCTGAGACAGTATCTCTTCTTGTACCTCCTTCAATACTAGTCAATTGCCTGTTCTGCAACCTGAGTGAGACATTGTCTCCACTCCTCTTGCAAATCAATTTGGAGATCTTATTCATATTAATATTATTAGTCCTATCAAACTGTATACATATAAGAACATACACTACTTATTAACAATTGTAGACAATTCTACTTGTTGGTACATAATACTCAAATTACAAACAAAATCCAATACATATATGTAATACATACAATGGACAACTAAAATATTTACACAGTACAGAGTTAAAATAAAGCTTTTACAAAGTGATAACAATACTGTATTCCTTAGTAAAGATTTCCAACAATATTTAGATTCACAAGGAACAAAACAAAGATTAATAGTACATTATACTCTACAACAGAACAGAATAGTAGAACAAACTCATAAAACTATATTTAGAGGTGTAAGAGCATATCTAACATCTACTAAATTACTGTTTACATTATAGGCTGAAGTAGCAATTCATATTACCTATATTCATAATAGAACACTGTGTGCTACTTTAAATTACAATACCCTACATTACAAACATTACAGAACCTACAGAACAATTAATAATATATACAAATTTGGTCAATATATTATCATTTGTAACAAAAATCCTACAAAAATACAACAGTAAGGTATTATTGCTTGTTAGATAGGATTAGACAATGAAAGTAAAGGCTATAAAACTTGGCACAATAATAAAATCACTATTGAACAAAATATTCAATTTCTCAAAGGTAAACCTCCTCAAATTGAAGGGGAGAGAATAGATGATACAAAGAACAAGTGTTTAATAATTAAAAATAATGAAATAGACAATAGAATAACAAGAACAGACAACAATGATACAGACAACACTGATCCTAACAAAAAAGGAAAAGTAGTAGAACCAACAGACTTAACAGACAATAAAGTTAAATTAACTAAAAAAGAAGTAGAACCTAAACTACATTGATTGGAACAGAAACAGAAACCAACAGAATGTACTATTAAGCTTGAACAATGTATGGAGAATAAATGTATAACAAAACACATGTATGCACTTAGTGAAAAGGATGAAGATAATATTACTATTCATTTAACAGAATTTAATACTAAAATAAGTGAAATACAATTGGATCCAACTTCATTTTATGAAGCAATCCAATGTCTAGATTATGATTTATAGATTACAGCTATGAAAGACAAAATAAAACAATTAGAAAATCATAATACATGGGAAATCACAAATCCACACAATAATATTAACATTATCAGAACACAATTTGTCTATAAAATAAAGTAATACACTGACAATAGTATAGAAAAATATAAAGCACAATTAGTAGTTCAAGGAAACTATCAGATTGATGGCCTTAACTATCATACAGACAATTTATTTGCTCCTACTGCTAGACTATCTATAGTACAATTAATATTAGTATAGGTAGCATCTAATAATTATGAAATACATCAGATAGATATAAAATTAGTATATCTGTATGGACAATTGATGGAAGATAAAGAAATATATGTTAAACCTCCTCCAGGTAACTTAATAGATAGATTACAGAATGGACAAATATTACAATTACAAAAAGTACTATACAGATTAAAACAAGCTGGTAGAAGATAGTATAAAACACTATCTAATATACTACTTAAATACAGATTAACAAAATCCAAACATAATAATACTGTATTCTTTGTAAAGAAGAAAGAAATAACTGTAGCCATATTATTTGTACATGTCAACAATATTACTATTGTAGTAATGAATAATAATACTATTGTAATGATAAAACAATCTATTACACATTATTTACAATATACAGACAGTAGCAAATTATACTAGCTACTTGGTATAGAGATTCAATGTGACAGAGAGTATAGATTCATCAGGATGTGTCAGACACATTATATTAATAGTATAATAGAACATTACAAACTTATGAATGAACAAAGTGTACAAACACTCATACAGTCTAGTACACAATTAAAAACAGTATCACAAACTAATAATAATAGAGAACAAATGTCTGATATACTATACATGAACATGGTTAGCACACTTAGATACATTACAGACTGTACACAGCCAGATATAGTATTTGCAACAAATCAGTTAGCTAAATACCTTAATGACCCTAGTATAGAGTATTATCTAGCACTTAAACATTGTTACATGTACTTAAAAACTACAAACAATGTCTGGCTCCAACTCAGTAGTACAAATCAATCAATATTGAATAGATATACAGACATGGACAGTATGATGTAAGAAGGGCATTGTGTAATATCAGGATATACATTTTACTTGAGTGATTCATTAGTTTTGTAGTCAAGTAAAAGACAAACACTAGTGGCAAATTTGACATATGAAGCTGAATTAATAGCTCTTGTAAGAGGAACACAAGAAGCAATCACACTTACTCATTTAGCTGAAGAGATTCTGTAGGTCTCTGATGCACCAATTAATATCTATTACAATAACAATACTGTTATACAAACAGTTACATTAGACAAACTCAAATATTCAGAACAAACAAAGCATTTAGATCATAAGAAAGATTTTATTAAATGCTACATTGAGTTAGAGTACATAAATGCAAAATACATACAGACAAACAATCAACAAGCAGATATATTAACTAAAGCACTACATGTACCACAAGTCAAACATCTTACCAGTTTACTTGGACTAGTAAGAGTTTGAAGGGGAGTATTATGAGATGATTAGTTCATCAACAGATGAACCACAAGACAATGACTTCATAATGTCTCAGTTAGAATACATACAATATAAGGACGAGAGACACTGAGCAGTCAATCGTCACCTCACCCCTTGTCTATACGTGCCCCCCTTAAGTTTTCCCTCTCAACATATTGGCTGTGGCTTATTAACATTTCCCAAGGATCGGTACTGACCCTGTATATTATCCTTATCCAAAGACTGATCTGACACTTCAGATGCCGCATGTAACCGTGTTCAGCCAACAATATAGCAAATATTCCTTGTGCGAAACGTGTCTTTTGCTTGTGCTGCTTTGGTCACCCTGCCCTGAAATTGGAATAAAATTAGTCATCTCACGCGTAGATTCTTATCACGTGTACATGTGACAACCAATAAATTTGAAAAATCAGGAATTCCGGTGGCAAACTGTTGCTATACCCTGCCTCTTCTGGCCTCACGAATCTGAACAATACTTTAAATGTGGTTCGAGCTGCAGGCGCTGCTGGCTAGCAAGCACAATCCCGGAATTCAGTGGTCAACCGACCAACGTCGCCAAAGAGGGAGCGATGATTATTTCCTGAAATTTTCAGCCTTGTAAAGCAGCAGCAAGCTGTCGAGGTCGTGAAACATCGCTAGTTTTAATCCACGGGACGTCCCGACTGACTGTGCACAGACGCATCCTATGCACATCAAAACGTTCGTAATCGCACCTGCATCAAAACATCGCGTGGCTGTCGAAGGCGATACTTTCTGCAGTCCCAGACTGTCTCACATTTTACGGCCTCACTGTGTTTACATTAGGGGAGAATTGAAGCGATCACTTTGATAGAGGTTGACTTATGATAAACAGTGTAAACTCAGCCTCCGTTGTTCGCAAAATGACAGGCAATCGGAACGAAAGTTTTATCGTAACAATACGCGAGTCGTAACTGTTGTTGCAGAATTTGCAATAAACTTCTTTGATACTAGCGGGGTATTTCTTCATTCCATGTAGAAAAAAGGCAGCTAAACTATATCTCTCATACTCACAGTGAAAACAAATCGAGCTACTAGCACATTATTACCTATGAAAGCACACTATTAAATTTACAAGCCAACGTCTGGGTTGAGTTTGTTGTATAGAGGGCACAAGTTCGACCAGTCAGCTAACGAGAAATGATGAGTCATTCGTTTGGTGAAACAGTCGGAGCACGTACCGTTCGGCGGATCGACCGTGGCGATATCCTCCGCATCTTCGGCAAGGACGACAGTCATTCCGTTTTCCAGATGCCAGTCAATGTGGCAATGGAGAATCCAAGGGCCAGCATTGTCGGTAACGAAGCGGAACGTTACATTATCTGTGCCAGCACCAATGCTCACAGTGTCCCGGCGCACCGGATTCTCGAAGTTGTACGACGAATTACCCGCGACGCGAATGACGATGGAACGGATGCTGGGACACATTAATCACGTCAGTTATATCTACGAAGAAGGGAATCCAAAATTGCTATAGAACGTACGTTTCCGCCACCTGGGATGTTGAGTTCGATAACTTTGTTCGGAGGCAAGTTGATTACGGAACCAGTTGGTAAAAGCTGGTTCGCATTTGTAGTTCCGGACAGGATTTGAAGAAGGACAGGCACATTAGGTGGATTGAAAGACGCTCCGTTGATAGTGAATTCTCCGCCTGTCCTTCCAATTTTCAATGTTTTGACGACATCTAAATTTGCAAGTTTATGGGCCTCTCAGGGTCGTCCAAATAAGGCTCAGGGTCTAGCAGCGGAAAGTACACAACTGTACATGTTTTGAGACACCTTTACGTCACGTGAAGTTATTACATGATACTCATCAAGCACGTGGAATTTTTTTTGCCTCAGAGTTGTTCTCTGTCGTTCTCGGAACCTATCTGTGGCTCACAGATCCTCTGAGTCTGAGCCTGAAATGAACGTCGTTGATTGGATGTCTCATTCTCAATCGCGTTAAAAATCTTGTCCATATCGCTTCCTCGATTTTATGATTTCGCTCTACCTCCAGCACTTTGACTATTACCATTGGAGATACGGAACATGCGGATTGAAGCGCTTCTTGGCACTTTGAAGCATAATATTACTTGCGCAGCAGCATGTTGTATGTATGTCAAGGCTGTTAATATGCATCATCTCATCATGGAGTATGCGTGCTTTTCTTTACGACAATCACCACACTCTGGCGGCCCAGATCTCTCGGTCATCCCTGCATCACTAATTGAGAAATAATACTAATGGAATTTCCTGTCGCTCGTCTTGGCCGCAGCTCTTGACCAATCACAGTTTTTGCCACCCTCGCTAAATGTGTCGTTCAAACTCGTTTTCTCTCCGTTCCGCCCCAAAAGAGTCGTGCCAAGGTCGCCTGTGTCGTTGCACAGCATCTCTTGTACGCCGCTTGTGTCCACGATTAGCAACAAAGAGCGCACTACTCGACTTCTTTTCAGGCTTGCGAGGTTTCGGCACCCTCGTATCTTTCTGTTTCAAGCAACCGCGGATGCGAACAAGACAAAGAAATACTTGGCTGGCGAATGGCAGTTGGGGATTTAGAGCCAAGCACTGATAAAAACATACGCCTTGCCATTCGTATATGTACAGACAGACCGAGGCTCGGTTGTGTCATGATAAGCGGCTAGGTTGCCCACCCATTCCTTGTACCAGTAGCAGCAAAGACTATCTCCGACACGGCTGTTCTCTGTCTATCATCTTCATCATGTCGAACCAGTCTACGGCGCTACCCTCACCTTCGACGAGTAACGCGCCCCTACCAAAGGAGGTACAGGAGGCAATCGATACGAAAGAACTAACGGAGGAGCCTAGGGAAGAACCAAAAGCAGAACAGATCTTCTCGTCGTGCGCATCAGTGTCATCTTCAGCATCGTCTGTAACATTACCGACACCAGCCACTGCTAAAGGCCGCGTCGTGTCATTCTGGCGTCGAGTAGCCAACACGGAATATCTCATGCAAGACATCCATCCCGGACATGCAACATTCTTGCTGTTCTGTTTTTGCTTTATGTCTGGCTTCATGTAAGTTTTCTTTAACAAAACATTCCCATTTATCGTTAAGAGTAAACATTGGATCCTAGTAATTCTGTCCCATTCACGGCCGTTCTGCTTTGGTGTGGGTTTCAAACCGGGAACACCGTTCAACTAGCTATTGCCATCGGTCGCTTCCTCGATCCACAGAGGAAACACTTCACGTTCGAAGTAGCCGACCGACAGGCACTTATCTCATTGCTCTCTTACCTCGGCGGTGGTTTCGCAGGCAGATACGGCGATCGCATCGGTTCGAACAAACGTGCATGGCTCTTAATGGGCACACTCTGGCAAGCACTCCTTACCATGGCTGCAGCACTCACTATCTGGAAAAGCGGAGAACCCAGTATATCTGATTCACGCGGGGAGGATGCATGGAAGAATGCGTTGAGTTTCGTCTCCCTTGCATTCGCAAGCGCTAGCCAGGGTCTACAAGGTGTAATGGCCAAGCGTGTCAACTCCCACTTTGGCGCCACTGGTACGTATGAATGACACTCCTTGGCAAATGAAATGCTCACGTCTTGATATGAATTTTTTAATCCTTTCTTATTTCAGTCGTCCTTACGACTTTGTGGTCCGAGCTGATCGGTGACCCGGACCTCTTCCGTCGAAAATATACGAAATCGCGCGATCATCGACTCCTTTCTGTGCTCGGTTTCATACTTGGCGGTATTTTCGGGCGCGGACTCCTTAACCGAGTAGGAAGCGCAGCTGTCTTTGGAGTCGCCACTGCTCTTCGTGTGGTCATCGCTTTTGCTTGGCTCTTCGTTCCTGCGAGATAGACGGAATCGTGGGCAGAGCATGCCAGCCACTGTCCTTTTCCCTCAAGTTTTCTCATGTATTGTGCGCATCGACAACCATTTAGATGATTGAACCGCTATCAAGGACGTCTCTTACTTTTTTTTTACGCATTCATATATAGAACAAACCATAGAATGAATGTATGTCAAGATGTTGAGCATCTTACCCAACAAGTTTCCTTTTGCTTTCCCTGTTGTCTCGCAATGACCAAAAGCACAATGTATCCGTAGCGTAAATCGGAATTTCATAATTTGTTATCTGCACAGCTTACTCTGGGCAACAAATGGAAGACCCTAATGCCAATGTATCTCGAACAGCCAGACAACACTTGGCCTAGTCCAAGACCAAAGAAAAGATGACACGCGAAAACCCAAGATTTCATTCAAGACTCTACTAGTACAAGCCCATTTATCAAACAAAAAACATTGAATGATAAACCCAATGGAAACAAAAGAAAACTAGGCAAAGGTGGAGCCAATAGGGCCGAACTTGATGTTGGAGAAGGTAACAGACGAGCCTGGGCTCTGGGATTCAACCTGAGTAGGCTGACCTGAGGACGTTGGGCAGTTTCCACGGGCGATACCAGGCTGGGTCGCAGGTGCGTCAGTCGGGTAGTTGCTGTCGAGCCAGAGCATGTTAACAGCGTGGTCGTCCCAAACACTCATGACGAGAACCATGCCATGGTCGAAGGCTTCGCCCATCGTGTTAAGTCCGCCCATCGACTCGAATGAGTTGTTGTCGCCGAATGTCCGCTTCTGGGCATTGCAGAAGTCATCGGTGATCGAGTCGTAGGCTTCCATTCCTGGGATGTTAACCTTGGAGTTCTGGATGACTCGACCGTTCTGAACGTACAAGCGGCGGATCTCGCTGAGCCTACCGGACGTAGTGTTGTCAGCAGTGACGAACTGAGTCACTACGGTCATCTTCTGGCGCGTGTCGACCTCGAGACCTGGGCCGAGGAAGGACTTGTCACCCATACGGAAGGAGTTAAAGTCGCAACCATCCTTATCGCAGATGCCATCGTAGCGCTGGTCACCGTCACCGCATTGAGTACCCGAGCAGCGAGTCTGACCCTGGATGGTGCAGGCATGCGGCGTCACGGCGGCAGCCATTGAGTTCGCCTCCCAGACGTCCATCTCAACGCAGCATGTACCGTACTGGCCCGATCCTGCGTTCACGTCATTAGGCGATGGCGCCCATCCCTCGACGTTAGCCTATAAGTCAACGAGGATTAGAACAAGATTTTTTATAGTGGCAACTCGGGTCTTACCTCGCCATTAATGAACTTAATGTCGTGCGGACATTGCGTGTCACAGTAACCAGTCCCGTACTTCGCGCCAGCCTTGTTGCCTGAGAATCGCGACAAGCCACCGTCCTGGTCCATTTCGACGAAGTACAGTGCCCCGTTCAAACCACAAGGAAGGTTAGACATGTCAACGTCGAACGTGAACTCCTGGTTCTTCAATTTGAACATTTGGTAGTTGCTCTGGTCGGCCATCAGGTACACTCGTGAACCGATGTTCTTCGAGTATGGTCCTTGCGTAACGAACTTGAGCGTGAGCGCATTGCCAGACGTCGTGATACCATACGTTCCTGAGTAGTCGGCACCGTCAAGTGCACAGTTCTGAGCGCAAGTTACAGCGTCGGGGCACAGAGATGTATCCCAGGTGTTACCAGTGTAGCAGTTCGTCGAGGTACCGACTTGGTGCAACCAACGCCAGTTCGAGTCAAGGACAACCGACCTGGACTGCGTCGAGCAACTACCGCCTTGAGAACATTGTTGAACAGACAGAGACGGATGGTTTTCAGCAGTCAGTGTACCGACTTGCTGACCGTGTACGACGGCGAGGAGAGCGAAGAGCAAAGAACCAGCGCGGAACATGGCTTTGAAGAACCGTAGAATGTTGACTACTGAACCGATGCAGTCTTTGAGCTCTGGAACAGGTCATTTTATAGTACCCAGTCCGGAATATAATATGGAACGTCAACAAGTCGTGCACTACCGAGTTGACGGTGTCGGGCCCGACTTCTGGCAACACTTCGGATTGTAGGTCGGGTTGGAATGCAGGTTCCCGAAGAGTACCCGCTCCTCGAAGCAAGGTCCACATCTGCTGGCAGGCCCTTAGAACAACATTGTCGACTTTATGGCATTCTTTTAATCAGGATACTTACTACTGAGTTACTAGGACTTACTATGGGATTGGTCACGCGGTGCTTCTCCAGGCACCAACGTCAGAAGGTTAAATTTACCCCGGTATCTTAATTTTGCGACAACGCTCCTTTAGTCGTGAACATCGCCTAGACCCATATCGACGCTGTTGCGAGTTGCTCTTGGCATGAACATCGACGTACGCATCAACATGCGAGAAGGTCGTTCTTTTCTCCGGCTTGGCAGATCGTGCGTTCATGTGACGAACGTTAATCCTATGATTCAGAAGTAGTCCTCTGATGAATGGTAGTGTTCGCATTGACCATAAACTCGCATATGTGCAAAGCGAAGTTTAGCAATGGTTTAGAACGAGAAAAGCCGTAATTACGTTGAGTCTTATCCGACTGGCCAGGCCAGCCCACATTGCAGTTGAACTGGATGCGTATTTCAAGGGTATTCGGTAATCAAGACCAGCCTGCGCCAGCAGAGCATGAGGATCCTAGGGGATATGCTCTGCCTAAATGATCATTTGACGCAGAGATCACCTTAACATCCTGCACGACTGGAGGTATCCCGGATCAGAAATTTTTTCGCTCTACAGTGAAGTTGAGACGTTTGGCCGGAATGATAATGAGCCCTATCACGAAGGCGATGTACACATTTGGAAGATTGTCTGCAAGTGATGGATGAGTGGCAGGACGGGTATACTAGGGCAGTATCATTTACCGCCGCACACTTGAAGCGGGGAAGCAGAATTCTCTTATCCCTGGCAGCATCCAACCGTGCAATGGCCCGCTCGCATGTTACGAGAGCCCGCTGCAGAACAAATATTTGCAGCTACGACTAGCGGTGGCAGGTTCATCTCTGCAAGTTATTAGTTGAAGTATCCCACGATGTTCGCAGAATCCAGAATAAGCTTTGCCGAGACCGTGTCAGACACAGAAAGAATTTCATCGGGGCCGGGTGTAAGAAGCACCGTCGTCACGGATCGAACATCCGCTGGTCTCGCCCGGTCCGCCCATGGCAAAAGACGTGGCAACTTGCAAGGTCCATGTGCAACTGGAATGCTCTCATTGTCACTTGTGCGAATTTGAGGTGTCTGTTGGATGTACGAGAGACGCTGAGATAGGTTTCGACTGGAAGCGACGCAGCCAACGAGAGGGTACCACTTTGCGGATGCGCGGTAAAATAAATTGATCCAAATAAATTGACCCAACGGAGGCAATCTCCTGACCTGATTATTAAGTTTCCCACGATCACACTGAATGCGTATCTTCTTTGATGCCCTGACCAAAGTCATGTGCTTCGCCCCCAAACTTGTCATTTATCGTAAACAATTCTAATTATTTGATTTCTAATTCCGCGGTCGACAAGGGATTATACACAACGGCCGCCATCTCAGATTACTGACCATTCATCGGCCGTTCATATGTGGCTACAAGAAGCAGGACCCACCTGTCCATCAGTGTGCCTTGGTGTTGCAATTCCACCGGGACATACACGTGTTGTAGAGAAGAGTCGAAGACAAACTTCTTCACTGAAATAAGTACCGTGCCCGCGTCACCCCGCTATCACTTAAGCCATCAGCGCGAGTCTTCGTCTTCCTTTCCATCTCTCGACGAGGCGGAGACCAACCATGGCATTCTCTGCGGGCGAGGTATGTATTGAAACATAAACTCTCGATCCGACAAACTCTAACATAGCGCTCCCGTAGTCTAAACTTGTATCAATCTTCGTCCAATCGCTGCTCTATGGTAAGTATCATGTCCTTGATGATGTTCGATTGACGCTTATCTGTGTCGATCGCTCGTCTCCTGTCAGGCGCCTATGCAGTACTCTTCTTTGTTACGACGTACATGCTTGTTTCGAAGCGTTCGTCTGGACGTCCGATACGTAGGGGAATGCTATTTATTAATTTGTTGATGTTCGTTGTCGCGACAATGGTGAGTTAACTATTTGAACTTACCTGCTCTGAGATTACTTAAGTCTGTGAGTAGCATGTAGCGGTCAACTTTACTCGGATAATCAAAGCTTTCATCATATTCGCAAACGCACCGGGAGGACCCGCGGCGTTCTTCAATCGGTTATCGGAGTTCACCCAGATGTTCGGGAGCACACTGTATGTTCTTCAGACGCTGATCGGAGATGCCATGGTGGTATGTTCAGCGATTTTTTGATATTAGAAAGACGAACTCAAAATGATTATGTCGAAGCTCTATCGTTGCTACCTTGTTTGGGAGAGAAAGTTTTGGATAATCGCATTCCCTTGTTTACTTTTGCTAGGCAGTACTGGTACGTCTAACACCGGTCTATTATTCAATTCTGGTCTGATTTCTGGACATTACTTCAGTTACGGGAATCGGTATTCTCTACTCGTTCGATCGTGTAAATCCACAAGCCAACATATTCGTCGTCCAACTCTCGCGCTGGATCACAGCCTACTTCTCCATGACTTTCGCTACGAACATCATCTGCACAGGTACTTCTTTCCGTTATCATTTACGTCTCAATTCAAAAGTACTTAACTTTTGTCCACAGCTCTTGTTGCATACCGCGTATGGTCCATCAATCGGAAATATATGTCATTTCGCATGCGGAAGCTCCGGCCCATCATGCTTCTCGTTGTGGAGTCGGGAGCGTTCTACTCCGCTACGCTTCTTGCGTTACTTATCCTCTATAACGTTGACTCGTGGTTCCAATACGTTGTTTTGGATGCCGTTTCGCCTACTGTCGTGAGTTCTTGTCCAATATGATTTTTGTGATGTTCCAGTTGCTGAAGTCGAGCGATTTAGGGAATTGTGTTCACGGTAATTATGCTACGCATTATCATGGGAGTTTCAACCGAGGAAGGCGAAACTGCTCTTATGGAGTCGAGTGGAATTAGGATGGAGCGAATGAGGACTGATAGCGATCGGAAAGTCAACACAATCGACGAAACTGTCTAATAAATGTCCGAAATGGGGTGCTTCACTTCACATTGCTCTGCATATATATGCTGTATGGTTTCGACGAACCACGATGATATTCGTTTCTGTTGCTGTTGTTGCTAATCTTTGTTGTTTTGTTTTTGTAAATTGTAGTACAAGTGAATGTACTAGTAGTGTAGATATGCAAACAGTTTCATAACTATGACGGCGTGATGCGCATAAGCGGTTACTAGTAAATACTCAATGGGCAGCCTCACAAGGTAAACTATTAAATTATGTAAGCATGAATATTGCTAACCATTAAATATTACTTGCTAGGCTATAGCCAATCAAACGCCTAGAACACGTTATGTCACAAAGTGTAACAAGAAAACACGTCTGTAAATGTAGCAGAAATATACCTACCTTCGCCAATCTTCTGTACGTTTGTGAGTGCTAGAGCTATGGCGGAACCATTGACCCGTTCATCATCTCAAACTTCTTTTATCCCATCTATTTCCGAGACAAAGCTGTCTCCTCCGCCAAACTTATCCCCTGATACTAATAATAGCCAACCATCACCTTCTAATGCACAGGAACTATCTTCCTCTACACTACTACACAGTGTACACACTGCTCTCGTTTCACATCCTACCCTTGGTCCTTCTTCCTTTGACCATGGAGACTCAAACCTGGGCAATGAACCTTCAAAAAATACGCCGCCACAGCATACCTCGACACGTTCTGCTCAAACACAGTCTCGGCGTTCTAGCGCTCGTCGATCCAATTTAACGGAAGCACAAATGATTAAGTTGGTACATTGTTACATTGCGGCTCGGGTCGATCTAGCGAAGCATGATGAAAAGGGTGCAGTAGAGGCAGACTTTGCAAGGGCGGCTCGGGCTGAAGGTATCACCGGCACAGATAAGTCCCTTCTCGTTGAGGTCAATGCCATTCTAGATTATTACCGATCTGAGGTACTTTCTTCACTTTTTTCTTCTTCTTTTTTGCTGTATAACTAATATGCATGTTTAGAATCTTAAAACTGTGGCGGTCAAGGCAATTAAAGCTGCACTAGGACATCGAGAAATTGACGACAGCTTACTTTGGCAACTGTGTGATAGGGCCTGGAGTATTCGCGACATATACTCAACTAAATCGGACGAAGAAAAGGAGCGCGCACGTAAAGTCAGTATTCAATACCACCTCCTCTAGGGTATTTATTGACTTTCCTACAGAAGATGATTGAGGATGAGCTTGCTGGAGAATGCATCCGTAATGCGTCACTTCAAACTGCAATAGCTCGTGGCATCATCAAGCCAAAGGCAAGCCCTGTCCGTCAAATTACTAGCGCTGGAGCAGTCGACCCTCTTACCAACGCTGGATCCGTTGAGGATCCTTGCGCTGTAACTGCCGCCCACCTCGCCAATGTCGGATCAGTCGATGTAGTTAATAGTGGTGGTTCCTCAACGAATGCCGGTTACAATGGCGGACCCATTAAGGCAAACGTAAGTACTAGTGTTCATAACTTGTGCTTTATGTTTGATTCTTATGGTCCATATTTCCAGACGACCGTCTCTGTCGAACAGCTCACCGATGCTGGCTCCATCGACTGTCTCACCGATGCTGATTCAGACGGTCTGAAGAATGCAGAATATGATGACCAACATAGTAGTGCAAAGGTATGTCGACTTCCTCATTGTCGATGTTGCAGGCTCACATATCATTTGCCAAGGCTCCCACGAAAGCTAGTTTCATCGACGCTCTCACGAATGTTGACACCAATGGAAGCCTTACAAATTCTGCCCCGGAGAACACTCTCACGAGCACCAGCAGTCTTGGCACGCTCATGGACAAGGGCACGACAAGCCATCTCACCAATGCTGTTTCAATCAACCCTCCCACCAACACCAGCTCCGTTAGCCAACTCACGAATGCCCGCTCTGTGGAACATCTCACAAACGCTGGCTGCAACAATACATCCGGCAATACTCAAGCGAAGACTAGTTCTGTTGACCGTCACTCTGGTGCAGACTCTGTTGACGCAAAGACCAATGCTGGTTCCGTTGATACAAACAGGGAGAATGATCATAGCCGACGCGCCCTAGGAAAGACACGAGGGCTGAAACGGAAGGCTCCTTCTCAAGCAACTGATCTGGCCGACTCTGATTCCGATTTCAATCCGTCAGAGGATCCTCTTCTTGCACTTCTTCAAGTTGAACGCCGTGAGACGAAGCGCTTAAGGAAGGAACTTAATCAGACCTTCAAGCAACTTAATGAAGCTATGAAGGCTAACACAGCCGTATACAAGCAAGCCGTTGAGTCTCAGAAGGAGTTCAATATGAGCTTTCTTTCATTTCTTAGAGAAAAATTCGCCTAACCCTTTTCCTTTTATTCAATCCTTGTAACCATGTTAACTCTCATGATTATACTCTTTATTAGTTGTATGTTTTGCTATCATTAATATAAAATAATATTCATCAACGTAATATAAACTATAAAGTAAGCATAAAAGTAAGCATGTGCATTTGAGGGCTGACGTTGAAAAGAAAGGAAAGGAAATGCTTTCTCACTACTACCTACCAAGTATGGTTAGACTCACGAGGACGATCTCGTGACACTGGTGCCGCCTATGCATGGTGCGCAGCCACAAGTTCAAACGACTGCACCACCACAAATCAAGACTCCCTTCGACTGGCATTCCACAATTGTACCTCCGGCGAAATGCTACGTTCCTTATTCTTGATCTTGCTTCACCTATCACTCCAATGAGGCAATGCACGGACACGGACAAAGCGAAGAGTGCGCCGTAAAACATAGGTGACGCGCGGCTGCGGTGTTCTCCGCCCATCAAACAACGTGGAAGCTGTGCTTTGGCGGCAATGAAGTCCGCGACGTTTATGAGTGACTTTCGCAATTTCTTGCGCTTTTTTTGATGTACTGCGTATCTGTCAGAAGAAGAGCCAAGGGTTTTTTTACGTGACTGTTCTTGATCTCCGCGCTGACCGACATACATATTTCTCTGGTACCTTGTCAACGCATGGATACACTTCATCAAGACGATCACATTTTCAATAGCCTTTTCTCATGGATATAGCGGCGTCAATCCGCGTACACATATGTTTTTCTCGCGCTATGTTCTTGGCAGCGGAACCGACTACAAATTCTCGCGTTGGAACGACAAACCCGCGTTCTGTGTCAGGGAATTGCTATGCTGCAGACGCTGTTTCGCAATATCGTGTCGACAATTAATAGGCGACTTCAATTAATTGGCAGAGACACTTGCAGAAGGGCTTTGGCAATTTAGAGTTAAGATGCCAAGAGTTATGCAAGTCTCTCAAAATTGAAGAGCTGGACTTGCAGAGATCGACATTTAATGCCCATGTCACGTTACTCATGATTTTTGTTGGGTTGTAGTCAGACATTTCTTTATTTCAAACTCCGACGCGTCTACAAGTGCCAACAAGTGGGTTCGAGCACTTGCAGAAACTTGCAGAGAGTTGCACGGATTTACATCTCTATTTGGTATATATTAAGGTACGTCCACTTTGCTGAGCCACCCCAAAATTTTCCAACTGTCCTACAAGTGCTCCTGCCAATTAATTGAAGTCACCTATTGGCTGTGATCAACTGATGGGCCTGTAGCGGCATGTCATCCCGTGCACCCGCGTCTCTTTGCCGACGCTTACTCTTGGCGCTGAGGCGGTCCCGCAACTTCGTCAAAACAAACAGATATTGACGTCCAGAATGGTATAAAAACACAATGAACTAGACGGATGATACGCACCAATTCACGTTCTCTTTCTACGTTCTCAAGAGTCTTCGTTCGAGTTCATTCTCTTTGCTGTCTTTATTCTTCGACCTGATTCAGTTCTCTTCACAATGGTCGGAAGATCTGTCGTTATTCTTTCTTCACTCGCTCTATCCCTTTCTGGTGTGCGTGCCGCAATCACCAAGCGTGTTAACTGTCCGGATGGCAAAAACACGGCGTCGAACGCAGCATGTTGTGCTTGGTTCCCTATTTTGGAGGATATCCAGCAGAACCTCTTTGATGGTGGAGAGTGCGGCGAGGAGGTTCACGAATCCCTTCGCCTGACGTTCCACGACGCTATCGGTTTCTCACCAAGTGCTGGTGGAGGAGGTGCTGATGGTTCGATCATCACTTTCGCCGACACAGAGACGAAGTTCCATGCGAATGGTGGCATCGACGATATTGTTGGCACGCAGGCGCCATTTGTTCAGAAGCACAACGTGACGCCTGGCGATTTCATTCAGTTCGCTGGTGCTGTCGGCGTTAGCAACTGCCCTGGCGCTCCCCGTATACAGTTCTTTGCCGGTCGTCCAGCGCCTACCGCCGCTTCTCCAGATCAACTCATTCCTGAACCTTTCGGTAAGTCTATCTCGTACTTTTAGTTCTGTAAATGCTTATAATTGTTCTTGACTAGACTCCGTTGACAAGATCCTTGCAAGATTTGCGGACGCCGGGTTCAGCACGAACGAGGTTGTCGCACTCCTTGCTTCTCACTCTATTGCCGCAGCCGACCATGTCGATGAGACAATTCCGGGATCTCCGTTCGACTCTACCCCAGGTGTCTTCGACAGCCAGTTCTTCATTGAGACACAGCTTAAAGGCACACTCTTCCCCGGTACTAGTGGAAACCAGGGCGAGGTCGAGTCACCGCTCCTAGGTGAAATCCGTCTTCAGTCCGACGCTGATCTTGCACGCGACTCTCGTACTGCATGCGAGTGGCAGAGCTTTGTCCTCGACCAGGACAAGATGCGTTCGGCGTTCGCAGCTGCTATGTTGAAGCTCTCTACTGTTGGCCACAACTTGAACGATCTCGTTGACTGCTCAGAGGTCATTCCTGGTAAGCTCGAGATTCATCCAAGACGATGATTTGAATATTGACCAAAGGATTCCGCATGCAGATGTCAAGCCGAACAATGCTGCTCCTTACTTCCCTGGTACCCTGACCACCGCTGATGTCGACCAGGCATGTGACGCTACACCTTTCCCTTCCCTGGCCTCGAACCCTGCGGTTACTTCCGTAGCGCCTGTGTAAGTGTCTAGCATCGCATCTACAGACATCTATTCAAACTAACTTTGCTTTACTCTTCCAGTCCTCCCTCTTAAGAACTTGCATAACGAATCCGTACATTCGCTTTTCCTTCCTTTCTTTGGGAGATTTTTGGTTAGACTGGAACGAGGACTTTTTTTTACAAGGATAATTTATGGATTCTGCAATCCTCACGGACATGTCGCAATTTTTCCTTTCTGGACTCTTCATTTGACCGATTATTACAATAGTACTTATTGATATTATTTGTTTGGATATCCATTTTGCACGCACGAATTTAAAACGATAAATAGTGGTTCTAAATTATCTTGAAGGATAAGTTGAGAAGTGCTAGTGATTATTTATTGCAGTTCAAGTTGAGCAAATATTGTGTGGCATACAGTGGTAGACGAAATTATTGCACAATTCCAAAAATTCTCTTCAGAGAATTAAAAATGTAGTTGGGAAACAAACGGAAGAAATGGGCAAAAATAAGAAATATGTTCAACATTATTACTTAGTTTACTCTACCTGAAGAAAGTGAGATGTGATAACTTCCTTCTATCCAACGTAATTGATGGGATGGGAAACTTACAAACAATTAAATCCCCGGCGTCAACATAAGCCTTTTAACCATTAGAGTTTATCTTTAAGCGAGCGTTGTGCCATACCTTTATTTCTCCTTTGTCGACGTTGATTGCAATTCGCAAAAATCATTAATAACTCTTTGATTGAATTTTACATACAGTGGTAGATAAAACTATTGCACAGTTCCGAAAAGTTAACCACCAGAGTTGGTAAAGTAGTTGAGCTGTGAACCAAAGGAATAACCATTTTGGGACAAAAATATTAAATAAAAATGTGTCCAACATATTACTATTATTACTAAGTGTACTCCGCCTCATGAAAGTGATACAGTATAACTTTCTTCAATCGAACATGATCTATGGGAAAGCTAACAAAAGTTAAATCCGCGGCGTCAGCACAACTGGCAACCCTCCATTTGCCATAACGAAATGGTCCTCAAGCTCCTCCTCCCATCTACAAGGGTCATACTCAGGTGCGAATTGAATATCGAATCTCTGCATAAGGAGAGCAACGACCATCCGCATCTCAGCAAGAGCAAGTGCTCGTCCAGCACAATTCGCAGGTCCGTAGGAAAATGGTATGAATGCTGCCATGTTCGTGTGCACCTCTCCTGATTCGGATCGGGATGAGGACTTCAAATCTGCAGAACCATTTGTTCTGTCGGATTTGGCGGAATGAGCAGTACGTTTGACGGTGTTGGGCTGTAACCACCGATCTGGCCAGAACGTCTCGGGTGCTGGGGAGAAGTATGCCGGATTGCGGAAGAGTGCGTATGGTGGGACGACTACAGATGTTCCTTCTGTGATGAATCTAGATAATTAATTAATCAATCAGTTCGTCAGCATGGTCGTGATTGTGAATGTGATGCTAGCTAGGAGGAACTAGGAACTAACCGGTCCCCGACCCATTTACCACCACTCCCGACTTCGGGTGCACGTTGCAAGTAGCTGCCAACAGGAGGTTGAAGTCGCATCGTCTCGTTTCTAATCACCGGAATGTGATGATAAGTATTCTTCTTATATATGTGCAACAGGAGTAGAGGTAGACCCACATGACTGCATTAAGGATTGGCATCTCTGCAAGCTTCGTCGTATCAAATGGATCGCCCTCGCCAGGTGGGAAAACAGAATCGATCTCCGCCTGCAGGCGCTTGTACTCATTCGGATTGCTTAGGAGGTAGTAGAACAAGCCGCTGAGCGTCGTAGAAGTCGTATCGGACCCGGCGATGATGGCAAGTGTTCCGTCGGAAGTGATTTCTTTATCTGTCGGTGTCACTTTTTCCACATGGTCCTCATCAATCTGTGGACAATGTTTGACATGCATTTACAAGTTAGGCACTCTGCGGAACTTACGAGATGATAAAACAGATCTTTGGTGAGCGATCCATTTGCCTTTCGTGCACGTACGAGTTCATTGGAGAATTCCCGCATCATACGAGGGAACTTATGTGCGGAAGGGATCCTACGCAGAAGAGGCATGAACCAAGGGATGTGTTGGTATATTCCCGCAATACTGTTTATAAATTTAGTCTGATGCTCTTATATATTAGCTGATGTAGAGCGTACTGCATGGTAGACTCGATCAGTGTCCAGATGCCTTGCTTGTCGCCACCGTCTCGCATGAGTTCAAAACCTCCACCAAAACTAAATTGAGATTAGTGTGGGTATGGCCTGCGAATAACGAGTAACTCACGCCATGTCACCCATGAAATCAGTCCTGTGGAGAAGTAATTATCAACATAGCGCTCGGACACTAGTAATGGAGGCGACCTACGCAAAATAACTCAACCATTGGGCCAGGTCTACAGAAGGAACACCCGTTTTCGCCGTTCGTTTGTTTAGCTCACTGACCAATTGCAGTGCACGCTTTTGTACGATCGGCTCGTAGCCTTTGACCGCCGAGGTATTGAAGGCACGATTCCATGCTTTACGGCGCCGTGCATGTTCGTGCATCGTGCGTATCCCGATTAAGGCAGGTTCTTCACCCTTTCCGGTACGAGCGGTCCACACTAATACAATACTATTATTAAAATGTGGGTTAGAATCGATTTAGTTTATTGCACTTACTTGGACCTTTCGGCATCCCATCTCCGCCTAAAATACTAGAAATTGCAGAGACGTCTACTACGGAGAGCTCATTTGGCCCTAATATATTACAACTACTCTTCAGAACTTGTGCTGTTCGAAATTGTTCAGAAGACTTACCGATCCGAACATAAGGCCCATATTTCTCATGGAGTTCCTTATGCATAAGATGATTCTTGCCTTTTGCCATTTTTGATAAACCCCAGAGCTTTGTTATCTTTGCAAGGAAGGGGCCCGGATACTTTGCAAGTGGATGCCATGGTGATAAGCGGTAAATCACGATACTTGTGACCAGCGAGAAATAGAATAATGCGAAAGCACTAAGGACGGCTAGTATGGCGGAATCTTGTTGGAAGTGAGGCAAGAAACAAGCAGCGGGGAGACTTGGGATGACGACTAGGAGGATGAACTGAACGAAGAGGTGAGACAGGTCGGGTTCGAAGCGCTTGTAGATTGCGTGAACAGTCTGCGAAAACGAAAAAGACAAATTAATCAATGCCACTTGAAAAAGTTGAACGGTTCTCTCACCAATGCGCATGCCACGTCGAGCAATAACACGTCTCTAAACGCGAGATCAGGTATCCTGATTGTATCCAACATGATGGACAGTATGTAAAGGCGTTCCGGGGGTGGAACTCAGTAGCACACACAAGTGAGACTTTGAGAGGGGCTGGTTTGGCTGGACGTGTCACTTAGCCGCGCACGGAGCCACTTTATAGGAAGGAAAGCGGTGCGCGGGCAGAAGCATCGGGCATTCGGTCATTCAGGTTATCGACGATGGATATACAAAGAAACACATTCATATGATTATGCATGCCTCTGACACACTGAGCGGCAAATGCAATGAGCATTACGCCCATCGGACAGACGTCCGAGTCCAAGTACTTGATACAAATGACATATGTAGGCCCATTCGGCGATATGCACGCGCGAAAATGAATTGTTGTCGAAGAACCTATCCGGGGTAGTCGACGGATCAAAAGGCGCGACTGCGCCGGAAGAGCGTCTTATTCGGCAGGTGCGCAATTCACCGAGACCGAAACGTACTTAGACGGTAGTACTACGTACGCTTGTCGGCAGCGACAACTGTTGCATTTCTATCACTGTATCAGTGGAATGAAACACGTCGTAATTAGCGCATCGCTCAAGTCATGTTTGTACCTTGAGCATGCTTTCTTTCGATGTTATGTTATCAATGGCGTCGACGACGTCAAATTGGGAATCCGATTGGATCGCATGCATTATCAATGCTTTAAAATAAATAATAATAAATAAACGAGGAAGGCACCGCATATATCTTTCTCTCGGGCAGGTAGTACTATCCTGACCGAGAAATGATTCCGCTGCTGTAAGGATAACTCCCCAATCTTTAGTTTCGATTTATACAAATATTTTGTGTCCAGCAGCGACTTGCTACATGAGTTGAATGCTTATCGCATGACGTGACTAGCTCGCAGTGGGCGGTCCGATCGTCTATCTGACCCTTCGCCAAAAAGCATGTCCCTGTTCTCACATCCGAACTCGTCGATGAGCCTGCGTCTTTAGTTCTCATCCTCGCTCCTTGACCTACTGAAGACGAGTTTAGAAGAAAAGATGTCCACTGTCGCTGGCCTGGGGGAACGACGTCGTCTGCTTGAGAACAACGCTGATGAGAACGATCCATTGCAAAAAGGCACTTACAATTCTGTGGATGTCGTGCCCTCTGCCGACGAAACACAGGGATCGAGCGACAGCCAAAGCGAGGACAGAGAGGACATTGAAGCTGCGAAGGAGCGAGACGGCAATAAGCGGATGGCGAAGCTGGTGAGTCCTCAATCCTTGGTCGTGCTGAATACGAGAACTCGTTGATAATCATCATGGTCATGAATGCAGATAGTTCCTCTAGGCCTTGGAGTATTCCTCGCAGCCATGGACCAGACCGTCGTCGCTTCGTCATACGCGTCAATCGGTAGTGAGCTCAAGCAACTACAGAGCACAAGTTGGGTTGCGACGGGTTATATGCTTACGCTCACGTCCTTTCAGTTAGTATTCAATTTTCTTCCTAATTCTTCGATTTCTGTCAACATCAAATTAAAAATATTCTCCTTTTAGGCCGCTTTATGGAAAGTTGAGTGATATCTTCGGCCGGAAGCAATGCCTTCTCTTCGCCTTCTCCGTCTTCGGCGTTGGATGTTTGTTTTGTGGATTGGCGAGGAATATGAAAGAGTTGATCGGAGCACGCGCCATACAAGGTCTTGGAGGTGCTGGGATATCGACGTATGTTCACAGTTTGACGGAACGTTCATTGCATCCTCACAATATCTTTTTGTTTTCTTGCATGTCAGTGTTATAACGATCCTAGTTTCGGACGTCGTCCCGCTGCGTTCAAGAGGAACATGGCAAGGTAAGTTAAATTCACCAAGTCGTCAACGATTTCTAACGGTCGCTGCTGTAGGTGTACTCAACATTATATTTGCGACCGGTGCAGCGGTAGGTGCTCCATTGGGTGGTATTCTCGCAGATGGGATTGGTTGGCGATGGTAAGTCAGGTCTAACATCGCGACGCAATTATATTAAGTTTTTCTCCAGGGCTTTCTTATTGCAGGTGCCCATGACTTCCCTCGCCTTCATCATCATCTTTTTCGCTTTCCATTTGCCTGGTGGTAGAGACCATCAAACAGACCTCATGTCAAAACTCCGACGCATTGATTTCTTGGGAGCATTTACCCTAGTCTGTGGTGTACTGTCTCTACTCGTAGGTCTCGATCGTGGCGGGAACGTTTCTTGGCGCGAACCAATCACTGTCATCTCCCTCTCCATCTCTTTTGTATTTCTGGCCTTCTTCGGCCTCACCGAGACGCGACTAGCTGCAGAACCTTTCGCTCCCGCTCGCGTACTCGCACATTCATCCCTCATCGCTGCATACCTATGTAATCTCTTCTGTATAGCTGCAGCTATTTCTGTCGTTTTCAATGTTGCGTTATACTTGCAAGCCGCAAGTGGAGCCAGTGCAGCTCAAGCAGGACTGGGGTTAGTCCCTTCCGTGCTTGGAGGTGTTACAGGAAGTCTCGGTTGTGGGCTTATCATGCAACGTACTGGGAAGTATTATTGGCTTACGGTTGGGATGTATGTTGCGCAGTTTGTTGGGACGGTTGTTCTTACGGCTGGGACTCTGTTGAAGAAGGGTTCGATAGGGATAGGTGTTGTTGAGGCTGGGCTTGTGGTGCAAGCTCTTGGAAATGGTGAGGATGCTTCTGCTTCCAGGATTTGTCTCGTCTCATGAAGTGTATTCTAATGACATCTTGGCATTTGTAGGAGCTGGAGTTACGACTACTCTCATTGCTATTATCGCGAATGCAGCTCCGGAGGATCAAGCAATCGCAACTGCTAGTACGTGTATTCGCACCAATATCCCATTAACTATACTGTCCTGCAATTGTATCATTAACTGACAATGTGATTATGCTATGCTAGTATCGTATTTATTCCGTTCTATGGGCTCTGTTCTCGGTATATCCATCGGCAGCACACTCGTCCAAAATACCCTTAGAAAATACCTCCATGAGCGGCTAAAGGGACATGATGTAGACGTAGACGAGGTCAGTCGTTCTTTTTGTCCCTTATCTTCTCCACTAACTCGAACTTTTATCTTCCTTTCGATACGATGATAAGATCGCCGACCGTGCCCGCTCATCGCTCGCTTCTCTTGCATCTCTGCCACCCAAAATCCAAGATATTGTTCGTGGATCGTACGCTGAGGCTATCCGCTCTGCTTTCATATTTTCTGTTGTCCTTGCTGCTCTTGCTTTGGTTAGTTCGTTCTTTATTCGTGAGAAGCCACTTGTGCGGAAATCGACGTAAAAATATATTATTAGAGTAGAATGTGCTCGTTGAGCTGCACAGCTGTTTCTCCCTTCTCATATGTCTACGTTGATTGCAACGCCCCGTGGTTCATCGGGTACGGTGAGCACGGAAGATAGACCGCCACAGTTGATTGCTGTTAAGCTACTTATTTCGGTTTGAAATTTAATCATAAACACGCACTTCACCTTAGACATCTACTATACTATGATCCCTCTTTGCCAACGATCCCTCTTTGCCAATTTGCATTTACACACAAAACACAACACCTAATGCTCTACAAAAATTCATGGGGGTGTGTTTTTACTATTTAAAATACAATATCTCTTTTTTTCTACAAAAAAATTGATAGAGGAATTAAAAACCTGTAAATACTGCTATTTCCACTAGTTGCAAACCTTATAATTAGCAGTTTTAATTTTTATAATCAAGTTAATAAGTTGATATTACTACAAATGTATATGAATTATACACAAGTACTTATAGTATTTTTCTTGAGAGATTTAATGGTGGTTGTAAATTAAAATTAAGTAAAGATTGTTTTGAGAGTGACAAAAGTGACAGATTCCCAGAGAACCTTTGATTTTCTGCATCCAGACCCTGAGTCTCACGACCCAATTTGGGATGACCCTGAATGGCCACTTACATAATACTAGTGCGGCAACTCTTGGACTAAGAAGTTAGGAGGGGGGTTTGGGGGGTTTTGCCCCCAATTAGGTTTGGGATAAGTTGGGTTGTTAGGTTTGGGTGTTAGGATGGGTTTTGGCTAGGATTAGGGAGGGGAACATGTATTTTATTAGAAAAGGACTTTATTTTGACTTAGTGAAATTCAAGTTGAACTGTGGGTGGCCAATTCAAGCTAACCAAAAAAGAACCGTGGGACTCAGGGTCTGGATGCGGAATTGACGCGACTTTCCCAGAGCTTGTACTGCGTCTTGCCAGAGCCAAATTTCTGTGACAGATTGTGACAAAGTTGGCAAAGAGGGATCGCATCCCTCTACAGCTCATAAAAAATCGTAAAAATTATTTTGAAAAGATATTGTGCTTTATTATGCTCTGATATACATATATGCAAATTTTCAGATCAAAATATTAAGTGGTTTTGGAGGAATAAAAAATTGGCAAAGAGGGATCATAGTATAGTATGCTGGCACGTGAATAGACCTGTAGTACCGCAGGAGCCCCGGAAAATGACATGTTCGTATATGTATAGATGATCCAATCAAAAGTATTAAAAATAAATTTACAATTTAGGAGAAAGAGTGGCGATTGGGGGAGTGAGTCTAATGCTAGCCTCGGGGGGTGTGAGTGGCTGAGACGCGATTGGCGGAATGCCGGTCGCTCCCGATGGGTTCTATCCGACGCCATAAAACGTCATGCATCTACAGCGAGTACTAGTCTGGTGTCATTGAGTCCCATTCAACCTCTTTGCGTGTGTCCTGCATACACAACGCAACCATGACATTCTACTCAGTTGCTCTGGTGCGTTCGGGTCGACCGGTGCTTTCGACGCGCCTACCCGCTCGTGCAGCTCACAAACTTCAGGCTCGAGCGTTTTCAGCTAGTTCTACTCGAGGAAAAGAACGGCTCGTAATTCTCGGGTCTGGATGGGGAGGGTATGAGGTGTTGCGTGGTGTTGACAGAAAGCGTTGGGGTACGTCTCCATCTCCATCCGCGTTCGTGTTTATGATTGACGACATGGTACGAAAGACGTGACGATGATTTCTGCTTCATCGTATTTCAATTTCACACCCCTGCTTGCAAGTTGTGCCGTTGGGACCCTCGAGTTCAGGTGCGCTGTCGAGCCGGTAAGTATACGAGACCATTTTTGTGTTAACATTAGTGACCGTACATGCTGAAACATATGCATGCATTTAGGTCCGGAGGTACGCGCCGGAAGCCGTACGTCAAAGACCGTCGAAAGCCCAATTCCTGCTCGCAAATAATAATAATTTTTTTCGTCTAGACAACATATAACGCATGGTGCGACAAGATTGGTCTGTATCTCAGCACGCATTCACCGCCACGAAAGTCTAATATATGCGCATAGATTTCAAACAGAAGACACTCACTTGCGTATGTGCCCAAACTTTTCTTCTTATTGTGGGATTACCTAATTATCCATTGATTTTAATCAAATGTAGGTCCCAGCAACTCCTCTTCCATCCTACTTCGAGCGTCCACAACAAACTCCCACATCTGTGTCAGAGGTATCGACGACACCTCCGAAGCTTAGACTTGCAACGCAAGCTCAGACAATTGCTGTGAAACCTCGAAAAGAGTTTACGATTCTGTATGATAAACTTGTTATCGCGGTCGGCTGTTATGCACAAAGTGAATTCCGCGACTATTTGGAGAGGGAGAAAGGGACCTGATTTCTGTTCTTCTAGCGTTTGGCGTGCCTGGCGTCAAAGAGTACGGGTATTTCTTGAAGGACGTCCGAGATGCTCGGGCTATTCGTTCGCGTGTACTTGAGTGTATGCACGTTCCTCACCTTCCTTAAGTAATTGTCTATACTAATTAATTTCATTCATTCAAGGTTTCGAGGAAGCATCTCAGCCAACACTCTCAGACATCGACCGTCGAAACTTACTCAATTTCTGCATCGTCGGCGCTGGACCCACAGGTGTAGAGTTCGCCGCGGAACTCCATGACTTACTCAAGTCGGATATAAGGAAATATTATGGCGAGAAGCTTACTCGCCTCGCACGGATTAATTTGTATGATGTTGCGGATCGTATGCTTGGTGGATTTGAGGAGGGGTTGGCGAAGTATGTTTGTTTGTTTGTCCTCGGAGAATACTTCATCATTTAAATTGATCGTTGGAGCTGACCATTAATATTATACTATAGATACGCGGAGCGGAAGTTTGCACGAGATGGAATTAACATCAGGCTGAGACATCATGTTGAGCGTGTGGAGGATGTGCGTGCTGGATTGATATTCCTGTCTTTCGTTACGTTATTCACTCTTTAATTTGTAGGGCGTATTGCACGTTAAGGAGCAAGGCGAAGGTAGTATATGTTTTATCATTCGCCACTTCAGAGGTTGTTGATTTAATCCAAATAGTTCCCTTTGGCATGCTCGTCTGGAGCACGGGACTCGCACCCAATCCTCTGATACAAAGCATCGCGGAGATCGAAAAGGATGGCAAAACCGGAAGGTGAAACTTACGCGATCTCATTGTTTAATGCCTGTTGGACTTATTTTAATGACCTTTCCTTTCGTGTCTGTACGAATACAGTCTACTAACGGACAATCATTTACGCGTCATCAAAAAGGACGGATCAATCAGCGAGAACATATGGGCTATCGGGGACTGTGCAATCATCCAGGATGAACTCCTTCCTGCAACCGCTCAAGGTTCGGACATTTTTCAACGTATGAGAACTTGCCATTCATTTAATTATCTTCGAATAGTTGCTTCACAAAAAGCAAAATACGTAACGCGCGTGCTGAACCGACTCGTCCGCGATCGACCCACGGAGGAGCCATTCCAGTTCCGCAATCGGGGGAGTCTCGCCTACCTTGGTGATTGGTGCGTCTCATTTTCCCCCTTAACCCTCGTTTTGGCGAAGTAGTATACTGATAATTATACTACGCCATGTAGGAAAGCGTTATATGATCGTTCCAAAGTTGAGACTGGACCGAAAGGAAGTGAAACTGGGTACGTTTCCATTTATTTCGCCTTAAGAATCGTTGCTGATTAGGTTTTGTGACGTATTCTAGACGTCTCGCATGGCTCCTTTGGCGTTCAGCTTACTTCACTCAAACACTAAGTATCCGCAACAAGTACGGAGATTCCGTATCTCTGTCTTGTCCAACCTTTTAATCACTAACGTCTTTTTATTTCATATAGAATTACCGTTCCGTACTACTGGTTCCTTAATTGTAAGTCGTAGTTTATCTCCGTATAGTTACTATGGATAATCTTAACTAACTAACGTTGTGTACAAAGGGATTTTCGGTCGCGACATTACGCGCTTGTGAAAAGTATCTCGAGATCTTTCCTACAATCTATAGACTATCATAGAATGTATGATGACCCCTAGTATGATTAAAATACGAGCTCCACTATTCATTGTCGTCTGATGGGGATAAGGAAGGGTTGGGTAGCTGGGACACTGTAAGTTGGGACAGACTTCTTCACTCGTGTAGTCTATGCTTGCTCGCTAAGTCATTTTGCGCATCATGTACGTATTATTATTTTAACAAACACTGCAAGAACATGTCTTTATGTACTGTACAAGCGTCTATCAGCGTTCTCACCATAACCAGTCTTCCGACTTAATTCCACCAACCGCCGTTTAATTATCTTTAAACACACGGTGAATCGAGACAAGGATCTGCCTCTCCAAGGACCCGTCTGCCCACTCCTTATCATGCAGTGTCCACCTCTGTTCGAATTCATCCAGCTTCTCTGGATAGCTCAGCATAATGATCTCCTTAACGGCCCTGTATGATGCTTCAAGAGCACCGACCACCCAGCTTTATATAGATTTGTCTTATTAATAGAGGTAAAGATGCAGGATGAGGTAAAAATGCTTACGCATGCCGATCACTGATCACCTCCCCAGCGAAGTGCAGCCTCCCTTCAGCGGCAGGGCGAGTCAAGTGTTGGTAAAGGTCAGCAAACTGACCTGGCCCGAATTGTGCATACGCGCCTGCACAGATTTTGTCAAAAATCATCAAAAAATTGCTGAGCACATTCGTCACAACGGTGAATACGTACCCATCGTGTAAAGGTTTCTTCCCCAGCTCCACGTGAAAGCCTCTACGTACTCTAACTCCAAGAAAGCATAGCCTTCTTCAGGCTTGAAACCGTGTACGGCTACAAGGTCTTGCAAAATTCTTCTCTTAAGCAAAGCCTTCGATTTCTCGTCGTCACCCATGAGTGCTGAAAGCGCAAGAGCATCGGCTGTCCAGGCATAGCTGGCGAGTAACACAGTGGACTTCCTGCCGCTAGAAGCGCCATACGATGGATAAACAATTGTACGAGCCATGTTGTCTGTTTGCGACTGCCCACCGACAATCGCTCCAAACGCTCCGAGCTGCTTCATGACAAAGTCGTTCTCCCACCAATTCGTCTTAAACTTGATACCGATCTTTGTAGCTGCTCCGTATGCCAACTCGCGGAGGGATGACTTTTGCATGTAGTCGAGCTCTGCTCCGGTGAGATCCATGGTTCGTAGGCATGGAAGTGTAGTCGTGGTAATTACATGAGAATATGAGCGTTGACTGCCATCGTCTAGGGAGACTGAAACTGTTGGAGTTGGCTCTTTAAGAAGTGCAATACCAGAAACGGGAGTGTCAAGGTAAAGCCTGTCCCCTGGAGTTAAGTTGAGTTTAGCAACCATGGTATCAGCGATAACACTCGACCCGCCACTAAGTTATCGAACAGGTTAATTGTTACTCATGAAGAAGTAAAAAATGTAACAACGTACTCCACACAGTACCAATCAATAGTTGCGTTTGCATCCTCTTCTGGAAACGCAAACGCAAGACTGTCCAAAACTTCCTCAGAGAGTGCAACATCATATGAACCTGATGAAGTGTCGAATGTCTCAAGCCAGTTCACAACGCCTAGTGGGTAAGGCATCATTTGCAGCTTGTCCAGTTCTGGTTTGGTGTCCGAACGGTTCCCTGCCATGTAGGCTCGGGTAGAGTATACGTCGTATTGCATCATCAACTTCCACCCCTCGTCCCCACCGTTAGTGACATCGTCCGCGAGAGCGTTAGCAAAAGGGCCAACAACATTATCAACAAGGTTATCCCATCCGGTTTGACCGTATTTCTCGGGGACGTCAGTGATCTGGAATTCATCCGATGTTGAGACACCAGGATCCGAGCGCTTCCTGCGTATAGAATTGTAAAAGAGAACGTTTTCAGGATTCTGATAAATGTATTTAATCAGTTTTCCTCCGCGTTTGATATCGAGGCGGTCGAAGAGATCGAACGTGCGCTTCATCAACGGCGTATCAGGAAAGCGCATTGCGCCAACGTCCTATATAATTTTCAGTCAGTCTGGATAATTAGAGGATGCAGAAATGGAACAGTGCAGATAATCGGGATTTACTGACAAAGTAATCATGTTCCTCGTCGGAGAAATGATGCGTGAATAGACGCCCACCCCAACGATCAGAGGATTCCAAAATCTCGTAAGGAATGCCAAGGTCTTGAAGTATCATTGCAGCATAAAGACCACCAACACCAGCACCGATGATTCCAACTTTGTTAATCTCACCCACAGGTACAGTGGGTACAGTGGGCAGAGCAGAGGTCGTTTGAAGACTTGGAACAGAGAGCTTCAGGTGGAAATTCTTGATGATATTCCTTGCATAGTGTGCCAAAGCGTCAGATCTAGCTTCTGGACCCAGATCAATCATGGTGGAAGTTTATGCTATGAAAATGAGTAGATGAACAAGAGGTTAAGCACTAGTACTGCAGTGCCGGGCAGACGAAGCTGATGTTGGGTTGGTATTTTATACCTGGTATGATGGGTAAACTCCGTAGTTTCATTGAAGCCAATGTGACCAACAAATGTTGTGTTTCAGCATTGCAGTGCCCAGTTCTCGAGTCACAAGCGCCATTGAGGTCATCATTCGTGCTTCCATTCACGATGATTGCCAATAATCTGGAAAATGTAAGCCACGAACTTGACTATTACTTTGCTTCCGCTGGGGTAGGGTGCTTAACTAATCGCCCGCCAGCTCGCTAGATGATATGGAAGGTGCTGTTACACGGAAGACCTTT